GTCTGGTCTCCTCATTCCACTGATGTCTTCTCTGGTCCTCAACTTCCTTCAGTGACTGGTCATCAGTGTAGAGACAGGCAAAGGCAGCCGGAACAAAGATCTCTAAGCCCCAGTGGGCTGTCTCCCAACTTTCTGGGAGAATTTCATACATGGCGGGTGATGAGGAATAAACATCGTTCTAGGAAATACAGGTTCTCAACCTCTCTATTCCAACACGTGTTGGGACCTTGGACAGTCTCCTTCTCTGAGCCTCAGTTTCCACATCTGCCTACTTCATACAAGATTATCATCAGGTTCTTATTGACAGCTGTGATTAATTTCTTCCTGATCACAGTTCTTCCACAGCATCAAAATGCAGCCCATCCTCCTGAAGTGGTTCGGAGGCTGGACCAGGAAGCTAAGTGGCTGGCTTTCTTCTTTCATGTTGACAAAGAGAGCAATGAGAGGTCAGCGTGTCCAGGGTACGAAAACCTGCCACCTGCCTGTTATCAGCGAGAGCAAAGCAGGAGCTGGTGTCACCAGCTGCTTCTCATGGCCCTCCATCAGCACCCCACAGGCTTGAATGCCTGCTGGCTCTATAGTTTGGGCTCTTGTTGGTTCAGAGAAACAAAATTTGTTAAAAATTGTATTTCTGGAATGCCTGTAAAGTCCTAGGCAGACACATAGATCACAACAACTTAGCCTGGTTACTGGCTCCTAATCAAAGTTGTACACTGGCTTATTCAGATCTAAAAAGCCCAGCCCGGTCCTTGGATGAGTACCACATGGCTAAAATTAGCCTGGCCATCTGCTGAGACAGCAGCTGGGCTATTCTGAGCCCCAGCAGGCCTGCCTGGAAAGTGGGACTGGGCCTATGGGACAGTGTTGGAAAGTTTGGTCCTTTCAGTTAAGGTGGATGACAGGGAGGATCAGGAGGATGGAGCCACACTGAGGGAAGACCAGGGTCATTGTGAGGTTTCACAGGTTGAAAAGGTGGGCATAAGATCTCCTGTATAGCCAAACATAAGCTCTTCCTCCTAAGACTGCCCAACAAATCCGTACTAATCATGAAATTCTGTTTCTTTGTCCTGGTCCCTGGTTTCTCCTTTTTTTTTTTTTTATTCTCACTCGAGGACATTTTTGCATTTGTCTTCAGATAGAGGGGGAGGGAGAGAGGGAGAGAGAGAAACATCAAGTGGTTGCCACCCACACGACTCCAACCGGGGCCAGGGACAAACTGCAACCGAGGTACGTGCCCTTAGCGGGAACCGGACCCGGGACACTCTAACCACTGAGCAAACTGGCCAGGGCCCTCCATTTTTATCTGGAGACTCATACACTAGCAAAACCATTCCCTAGGTTTTAGTAAAAATGTCTGAGAATTATTGAGGGCTTATCAAGGTCAGGAGTCAAGTTAAATACTTTATAGGGATAATTGTTCATTCTCAAAACAACTCAGAGGAAGGTACCAAAAGATTTCAGGGATTCAGAATGGCTTGATTCATCTTTCTGCAGTCAGAGAAGCTTGGTCTAAAGAATGTGACAGTGGGAACCCTGGCTCAGATGACCTCAGGAATACAAGGGTTCTCTCTTCCCCCAAGCTGAGCCCATAACTGGTTCTGGAGGGGTGGGGAGTGGGGGCACGCAGCAGTATCCCCCAGGGGGTAACCTCTTCTTACAATCTAGATTACTTACTTGAGAGACTAGTAAAAGTGAGAAAACTGGCACTGCTCTCTTAAGCCAGAACAAGGGGCACAGGCTGCTGCCTAGTCTTCCGACAGATTGAATGGCCGCAGGGAGGCGGCCGTGGGGTGCTCACGGCACCAGACTTGAGCGAGCCATTCGCCCCAAATGAGGCACAACGTGAAAACCCTACCTGAAGTAGTGGTGAAAACACCCTTCCTTAAAATAAAGTAATAAATCCCAAACTTTTAGGAGTTGAAACATAGGATTTAAGAGAAAGAGACACCACTTTGGGAAATAGGAAATCCTTAAGGTACCTGGTGACATCAGAGTGAAATAAAACCAGCCTAACAGGTCGAAAAGAACCATTTCTGATATCCAGATCTCCACAGTGAGAAGATGTACAGCCCAATGCACACCCTGGCCAGGTGTTCAGTTGGTTGCAGTGTTGTCCTGTATGCCAAAAGGTTGTAGGTGTGATTTTCAGTCAGGGCACATAGCTAGGCTGCAGGTCCAATTCCTGGTCGGGGTGTGTATGGGAGGCAACTGATCGATGTTTCTCTCTCCCTGCCCCTTCCTCTCCTTCTGAAATCAATTACCCCCCCTCCCAAACAAAGACCAAGGCACCCATAGGCTTTCGGTGTGAATACTTAACAGAGTATGTATATACTACACATGCCATTGGACTTCATTCAGGAGACTGCCTAAAAGTGAGACAGGCCAGAAAGCCAGGACAAGAGAAATAGAGAAACTGAGAGAGAGAGCTAAACAGACAGAGCAATTTACAGCACATACAAAAGGTCACCTCCCTAGAAATAATACCTAAGCCTCAGTTGTATTTTAGCTCCAGACCCAGAAAAGCATCAGAGCCAGAGGGGCAACACCAGGACCAGCTGCAATGGCTGATGACCCCCTGCCTTGACACTACCAGTCAATGGAGACCATGACCCAGAAAGGAGCACACCTAGAAAATTGGTGAATGTTCTGCTGAAACCCTCCCCTAAGATTCCCTCCTGCAAGAGAAGTAAAAAGCCTCAAAACAAGGAACCCAGCGTGCTCTCCTTTCCAGGAGCACGCCCATGCCTCCCCGACAGCTTCTTCCCCAACAGGCAAGCATCTCCTGAACTCTTAAGGCGGCTTACGCTCAGGGCAGCAATGGGCGGCAGCAGTTCCTCCCAGACAAGCTTCATGAGCCTGTCCGCAGGCCCCCTTTCCTTTGACTTCTCAGGGAGCCAAAGCAGCCAGCCTCGGCTCATTTCCCCAGCCCTTTCTTGTCCACTGCCCTCAGCTTTAACAGAAGTTCTCTTAAATTCACCTGGATTTGTGTTTTGAAATTTTTCCTACATGAAGCCAAGAACCCACACATTACCAGCTGGCCCTAGGCAGACCCGTGAGTGATGAGGTTCAACCAAGGTGGTTTCAGACACATCTCTCTATCGCGGCTTCACAGATGTGCTCTGGGATGCTGAAGGAGCTGCTTTCTACCTCCACAAGGGCCAGAGCAGACTCGCAGCAAGAGAACTGCCGATGTTAACACCATGCTTAAGGGTGTTTAAAACCATGCGAATGGCCCTGGCCGGTTTAGCTCAGCAGTTAGAGCGTAGGCCTGAGGACCAGTCATGGGTTCAACTCTGGTCAAGGGCAAGTATCTCAGTTGTGGTTCAGTCCCCAGCCCTGGTCAGGGTCGTGCAGGAGGCAACCACCTGGTGTGTCTCTCAGATTGATGTTTCTCACTCTCTCCTCCTCCTCCCTCCCTGAAGATAAATGGAAAAGTATTAAAAAGAACAAAAAAACCCAAGCGAATGGCCACTGGGCGGAACAGTAAATATGGTGTGAAATGTGAGCCCCGTACTGCCTGGGGCGGCTCCTGCCAGCTGCGGGCACTTCTAGGCACAGATGAGGAGGCAGCGCCAGGAAGCAGAGCGCAGTACCTCGTCTCTCATCCAGCACACCATTGCTGTGCAGCGTTGTTTCTTTAATTTAAAAATTAACTGCACACATTCCAGCTGCACCCTGGGACAAAAGTCGAAATTTTTTAGTGAAGAAAACCAAAACGTGAATACCGAAACAAATTATGGTAGGCTCACCCTTTTAGAAGTATGAAGAAACGAGAATCTCTCTTTAAAAAAGAAATCAGTTTTGATCACAGGGAACCCTTTAAGCAATAACTCCAGCCTAAAAATACTTAGTTTAATCATGTACTTTGAGGGTAACTGCCTCTCTGCTGATAAAAAAGGCAAAGAATACAGAATATTCGAGACCTGGGGAGCCGCAGCCTTACTGAATGGCTGGCTAATCAGGAGAGGAGCTCTCAGGTCACAGGTGCTCAACATTTTCATAAAAATGAAGGACACTGAAAAAAGATAAGAACTCCATTGTTATCAAGTTGATTTGCTGTGTTTCTGTACCTGAGACCTAACACTTGGGTTTGTATGGCCCTCATATTAACTGCATGTAGTCACAAATACAGCTTCTATAGGACAGAGCCAAAGTTCAGAAATGGCACCTGTTGTTATTATAATCACTTATATGTAGCTCAATTCAGAGAACATGTAAGTGCTTTTCTTCGTTCCTGTCTCGAATGAAACAACCCAGTGCAGCTTTTGGGTTTGACACAAAGGCTCACTTTGCTGCCTTCTCTTTGCCCGTAACTACCTTCAGGCCCACACTTCCTAGTCTCTTTCTGTAAAAGGTCAAAAGTGCCATTAGGTACCACCCCGGCTTTCAAGAAATTTAAGTGTAAACATTTAAGCGTCATTGTCAAATACACAGCAGCAGTATGAGGCAACGCTGTATGTGTATGTAAAATACTGCTGCACAGAACAGCATGCTTACATGAGTTTAACCACCATGAGTCTGGTTAGCTAAAGCAGAATGCTTTCTGGGGTTTGGTGCTTGGTTTTCTGTCATTCAGACGGGGCAATGCCCTGCCTGCCACCTGGCACCTTCTGGGGTTGCACCGTGAAGACTAACTAGACCTCTAGTCAGAATGAGATGAAACACACAATACACAAATGCAGAAGCCATTTTCATATTAATCGAGAATTATTATTAGCCTTTGGATATATCAGCAATATAGTTTTAATTTGGAAGACAAAATTGCTCATAGGGAAATCGAGAATTTTAAATGCAACTTTTAATTTAGTACATATTCTGAGAATTTCCACATTCAAGTGTCTCCAGAAAAGAAAAGCACCTTTTGTTTCTAAGTATGAGAAACTTTTACTGTTCTTCCTTTTGGTCTCTCCATACCCCTCACCAAACAAACAAAAAAACCCCAAATTAGAAGGGTGACAATAAATGCAAAAGAAAAAAGAAAATCTAAATAGTATGAAATTAGTTTTTATTTTTACCTCAAAATAAATGCTTAACATTTTTGCAAAACCAAAACTAAAGATGAACACTTAAAAGTAAGGGTGGAAGATCCTTTTTTCTTCCTTGGGGAAGGCCATTAAGTCAGAAGTTCTAATGTGGCTTGGTTTTTCCCTTAGGACTAGTCTAGATAAAAAACCCTTGCTTCTTCCCAATTTCTCCTCTGTCAGTTGAACCTACCAGGGTTATGGCTGGCAGGAAAAAAAAAAAAAATCCCCCAACAGCCCCTCCCCCAACCAACCTGAACAATGGATTTGAAAAATTTGGAAAAATCGTTTAACATGTGACCAAGTGTTCAAATCTTTCCAAGGAGGTCAGTGACGGTATGCCCTTGGCAACCCAGCTGAGGTCTTTGCCTGATTAGTCAGTACAAAGCACACAGGCAATTTCACACCAGTCACTGGGCTGCAATTCGGCCACACGTTAGTTCACCACAGCGACGTCTTAAAATTGAATTTCAGCTTCAGCAGATACTTCAGATTCACCTGAGCAGTATCATAGACAATGTACCTGGAGGGGAAGTGTGTCAAGGAGCAAATGGTTTCACGATCGCAAGTGCTTGTGCTGCCCGCAACCTGGCAGAATGCTCAGGCCGGTCACACCCTGCAACCTGGGCTTCTACACCTGGTAAAGGGAGAGGCCAGTGAGGGCACTCACCATGAGACACATTAAACGACAGTCTCTCACCAGTCTGCCCCAGGTTAACTGGCTGCACAAGTGACTCTGCAGTCCCAGAACATCCCTTCATGCTCGCACAGCCTGCTAGTGAAAGGATACTCGTTATACAGCAGACAGGTGTCGTTGACACCAGACGATATCCCAGTCCCGAGAGGAACCTCTACACCATCCAGAGTAGTACTAGCTGAAGGGTCAGGGGTAGTCTTGCCTAAACCTGCAAAACAGAAGGCATGAGTGAGATGAACAGTGAGAATAGATGTTTAAAATGTTCCTGAGAGATGACTTCCATTTATGTTGGGTCTATGTGTTCATTTTAAAGACATATGAATTCCATACTCTATCTTTCTTCCAGATAAAAAACTGCAGCCCTAGCCAATTTGGCTCAGCAGTTAGAGCGTCAGCCTGCGGACCAGAGCGTCCCGGGTTTGGTTCCTGTAAAGGGCACGTACATCAGCTGCAGTTTGTCCCTGGCCCCGGTTGGGGTTGTGTGGGTGGCAACCACGCGATGTCTCTCTCTCTCATGTCAATGTTTCTCTCTCTCTCTTCTTCCTCCCGTTCTATCTGAAGATAGATGCAAAAAAAAAAAAAAAAAAAAAAGTCCTTGGGTGAGAATTAAAAAAAAAAAAAGGAAATTGCAGGTATGCCCGGCCAGTGTGGCTCAGTGGACTGAGAGGTCCTGGTTCCATTCCCAGTCAGGGCACATGCCCAGGTTTCAGGTTGGATCTCCAGTAGTGGGCATGCATGAGGAGGCAGATGGATGTTTCTCTCTAAAATAAATTAAAAAAATAAAATAAAAACATATTAAAAAACAAAACAAAAACCTTGCAGGTTATAAATCAAGTTTCTAGGGCACCAGCCTTAAGTGATTTTATTTATTTCTACTTTTCTGTTGTTGTTAATCCTCACCCGAGGATACTTTTTCACTGACCTGAGACAGAGTGGAAGGGAAGAAGGGAAAGAGAGGGAAACATCAATGTGGGAGACGCACATCAATCGGCTGCCTCCTGCACGACCCCAACCAGGGCTGGGGATTGAACTTGCAACCCAGGTACGTGCCCTTAACTGGGAATTGAACCCACGACCCCTTTCAATCAACGAGCAGACACTCTAACTGCTGAGCCAAATCAGCCAGTACAGCCTTAAGTGCTTTTAATAAGAATAGTGCATGCTGCTCCCTTTCACCCCATTATATTTCTGCTGAGCAGAAATTCAAAAGCAGTTACTCCAAACAGGCAGATGGGGCTCCTAACTCATCAGGTGCTACGGGCTTCACAATCCAAGATGCCTGAAGTGCCACCAGGTCCCTAGCGGTCCCACAGTGCTGGAGCCAACAGATTAAAAAGCAATGCCAACACACCTGGTTACACCAAGACTCTCCCACGGCATTTGCAACACTCACTGCAGCCACAGAAAGTGAAACATTTTAAAAGAACCTCTGGCTATTTTACAGCTAGCTACAGGAATGCAGTCTCTTGGGGGGAAAGAAAGCTCCCTCCTGTGCCGTCCAGGGTGACTGGGGATATAGCAGCAGCTTTGGAAACCCATTACCTTTGACACTGTGCTTGCCCTTGGGTAACTTGCTGATGTGCAAAGCATGCTTCAGTTCATACCTATTCAAGAGAGGACAGTCTCAGAAAAGCCTCCAGGGACACAGGGCTCTTCTGATTTGCAGAACAAGGTCAGGTGAGAAAATGAGATCAACTCCAGAGAATCCAGTCCATTTTCACTGCTAAGAACTCCCTCCCACTCTGGCTTTAGAAATGGAAGGTGTGGTTCTCTTTGAATGGTTTGTGTCGACAATCACTGCTCTGGAGCCACTTTCAAGAAACAATACTGTTTAGAGACATGGCTGGCCACTCCGGAGGTGTTTGTTCAGGCCATGATCCCCGGACCCATGGCCTATTACATAAACCTGCCTTTTTTGGGTTACAGTTGATGGAACCAAAGTGAACCCAATCTAAGTTGGACCAATCAGATTTTCTCTTCAGGGTATTTAGAACTGGGACAGACTCCAGTTCAATCTGAGCTGGTCTCTAAACATCATCAGGGGGAGGGGGCTATGGAGTGACCATCTTTTCTGCAAGTCCACCTCTCGGCTTCCCAGTCCCCAAAAAGAATGGACACTGCCTGTTCCTGAGGCCTGGCTATACCTGTCCTTGGGTTTGGTGAGACTTTCCTCCATCTCCCTCGTTCACTCCACTTAAATAGATTTCTGCTACTCACCACTTAACTGGTGGGTCCTAAAAGTGTGGAAGGGAATTTTTAGGGTCACCTCCCAGCCAACGGGAGCTCTCCTTCCTAGAGCCCATCCCTTCCATGCTCTCCAAGTGCCACCAGCCCCCAAAGCCAGGCATACTCACATATTTCCAAGGGCAACTTCTCCCAATAGGATTAAGCCTACTGGATCTCCCTGAGATGTGTGGCAGTAGTTGGCACTCTTGGAGACCATGTCAGCGAAATAGATCCCTTTCCCAAACATGTAGCCTGTCTGGAAGGTTGGAAAAGAGACAGATGAAAACCTAATGGGAAGTTAGCAGCAACACCTATTACCAAGTACCAGTAAGCCAGGTGCCAAGCTGAGTGCTGCAACAGTCACTTCCAATTCTCTCAACGCTCCTAACAGGGCACTGAGGCCTGAACTCCTGGCCAGCCTGTTCAGATCCCAGGTCTGCCAGATACTGAGGGGCTGCAAGTACTTCATTTCTTTGGACCTCACCCTCTTCTCTGAACTGGGGAAAAGAATCTCATGTGGCTATTGTGAAAATTAAATGAGTTAATAAACACTAGTTAAACTAGAACCTGGCACATGTAACACCCAATAAATTCTGGCTATTATTTTTATTCCCTTTTGTAAGTGAAACACGAGGTTCAAAAAGGTTAGGTCAATTGCCCAAGTCATGTGCTACTGCACAGCACTTGAGAGCCTTTAAACCTCTTCCCTCCCCACTTTTTACAACCCTACAGTGGCTTGGAAGACTGCCGATAAGTTCCTGTTCAGCTGGTCACTTCTGTAGTACAGGTGACATAACAATCCCTTGTGTCTGGGCAAGGCTCTACTCATTTATTAGCATATTTTCCCGAGGAAGACAGTGGAGATTCATGGAGGTCATCCAGCTGGGAAGTGGTACAAGCAGATGGCAACTCAGCATGGCTCATGGCCAAAGTCTATTCCTTGCATGTCAACATCCCAATTTGCACTCACAGCAGGGCCTGGACACTTCATTTCTTTTGTTCCAGAAACTATGCTTGGTACAGGTACAGTCACACCACTGACAGAATTTGGGTCAGAGGAATGAGGGTGAAGGCACTACCTAGCGGCTGTGCTAAGGGTCTGGAGAGGGATGTCTGGCAACAGCCACCTGTCAGCCACAGCTGAGCCAACACCTACATCTTTAAACAGGCCCCTTATTCACTGGGGCACGTGCTTTTTTTCACCTAAGTATCTATAAACTCTTTATGGAGCCAACTGCAGAGACAGGTACTGCCCACCCACACTCTCCAGGCCAGGCACGTACCACAGGCGCTTCAGGTGGGGCGATCCGGAGACCCTGCGACAGTATCCCAGCAAAATTGGTGGTTCTAGACCCGTGCCACAACAACCTTCGGTTATGCAACTGCTTGAACGGCTTGTAGCGCTGGTTTTCCCCTTCACGCTCAATCTTAAAGATCTGGTTGGAGTATTAAGGAGAAAGATGAAAGAAGCTATTTGTTACTCTGGTTAACCCAAGGACTTAACTAGATACAGAAGAATTGACCAATTATCAAAAAACCTAACACATCTTGAAGTATGTAAGGTGTTTCAACCAGGCTGGCATGGAGCACCCTGACGAGTCAAGGTTCCATCTAGCAGAGACTAGCCAGGAAAATGAACAGTAAGTGTAGCAGATGCACAACAGAGGCACTTCATCTGGATCTCTGATAATATTTTCCAATTCTAAAACCAGGTTTTAGGATAGAGAATGTTCTTTAAAACAGAGTAAAGCCACTCCCAAACCACGAGACTACTAATTTTTCAGCTAAACAAATAAATGAGTCACTTCCCCTGGTTATTTCCAGCAAAGTTAACTGCTCCTTTCTACCCAGGCCCAGGTTGGAGGAAGGAGCGGCAAGAGCTGGCAGAGGGTGCAGGGAGAAGAGATTCTTACCTCGAGGACTTTCAAGTCATATGCATTGTGTGTAGTCGCATGAGTGTTCTTAACATATTTCCTAATGATCTTGGCTTCCTCCGAATCTTTGTCCACCACCTAGAAGGGTGTCTTGGTATCAGAGAAGGGGAGACCCAAGGAGAGGCACACAGAGGCAGGAAGAATAGTTGCAGGCTCAGCTGACACACAGATCATATAACCATGGCCTTCATAAAAGCACAAATGAGACTAAGAGCCCATGTTCCAGGCCTCACAGCTGGGGAGATCCCAAGCTAGTGGTCCCACTTCCTTGTGCATTGCGTTCTTTGGGCTATGAGGAAAGCTAGAAATCTGGGGCTCACTGTGAACGGAGAGCCTGTAGAACAAGGAGCCAGCTCCCAGATAATAGTGCAGTTCATGGAGTTAAGACATGTAGGTCAGGAGACAACCCACAACCAAGATTTGCAATAAAAAAGCAGCAAGGATCCCATTAACTGCATGGCTTTTGAGGATGGGGATGGAGGCTCCATCTCCTTTTTTTAAAAATCCTCACCTGAGGATATTTTTTCCATTTTTGTTCGGATAGAGTGGGAGGGAGAGAGAAACACTGATGTGAGAGAAACACATCGACTGGTTGCCTCCCGCATGACCCCAATCAGGGCCAGGGACGAACCGCAACCAAGGTACATGCCCTTGACCAGAATCGAACACGCGACTCATTGGTCTGCAGGGTGATGCTCTAAATGCTGAGCCAAACCGGCCAGGGCTCCATCTCTTGACTCCTCAGGGCCGTGTACACTATGGCTCAAAGCACCCGCCCACTAACTACCCCTCAACTAGTTAATATAATCTGTGGTAATCAGAGTGTGTTATGAGAAAGGCTGTGTGTTCTATTTTCATATTCTTAAAAAAAAAACCCTCACCAGAGGATATTTTTCCATTGATTTTTAGCGAGATTGGAAGGGAGGGAGGAGAGAAGGGAGGGGGAAAGAGAGAGAAAGAAACATCCATGTGAGAGAGACACATCGATAGGTTGCCTCCTGTACGACTCTAACAGGGACCAGGGAGTGAACTTGCAAGGGAAATATATGCCCTGACTGGGAACTGAACCCGCAATCCTTAGGTCTGCGGGCTAATGCTCTAACCGCCGAGCCAAATTGGCCAGGGCCTATTTTCATATTCTTATCCAAAGTTCAGAAATCTAGAAATTCTGCCCTTCCTCCTAGCCCCTTAGTTAAAAGGCTTCAGAATTATAAGGGAAGACAACAACAATGCCCTCACAGAAAACCGATTCCATAATATTCCCATCACGAAGGTGCCCCTAGGGCAAAACAAGTAACATCTGGTGTCTTACCCTGCTCAGACCTACTGATCTATGCTTTGTCTTAAACAAGGAGCAAAGGCTCTTTTTAGTATGTAAATACACCCTACCAGGCTCACCAGACTCTAGTGAACTTGACCCTATAATAAATACTGCAGAGAAGGACACAGGGGCTGAATAGTGAGGCACATGGGAGATGAGATGAAGCTCAAGGTCAGGGCAAGCTAGGATCTGAGGCAAAAATTCCTTTTCAGGTTACCCTAGGAAGGCCTGAGCCCTAGAAGTTCATGGACTCTGCAGAAGTTCATGGACTCTGAGTCAACGTGGCCACTTCAACTAGAGAATACGAAGCCAGGCACTGTATTTTTATTATAGCTGCCATCAGACATTTCCACTTCTGAAATGGGAAACCATTAACAAACCTGTTAGGTTTCCTGCCACAAGTCTCCAAAACCAGAGATCCGCTTTAGATTAAAGGAAAAAAATGACCTTTCCGTAAATCTCCTCAAAAACCAGTCTCTCCAAACTGAGTCCCTGGCTTAAAGTCTACCTTGAAAAAAAGGTGCTTATTTGTAGGTGAAATGCTCTGAGGTTCTCAAAAGACCACCAACAGCAACCAGGAATTGATAGAAAGGAGGATTTTAGGGCCCCAACAACCTGTTTTAGAGAGCGCTCCAGGAGATCCTGACACATTTAGGTTTGGGGACTGTAGCTCTTGGGAATGTTTAGGATGCTTCAAAAAGGGTGGGTCTTGTTACCTTAATGTCAGTTTTGAGCTTCTCATAGTTGACATCAATGGGGTCCTTGCTGCTATCATCAGATCCACCCCTGAGCAGACTGTAGGCCACCTCAATGTCAAGCAGGTTATCCAGCATTTCCACTTTGGCCTAGAGGAACAAAGAAAATCCTTGAGCTAGGTACCAAGGTAAGGGAGAAAGACTTGCCTACTTTTGTGACAGAAAACCTACATGTAGATAGATCCAAATGGACAGTAAAGGGGGGCAACTCCCAGCTGATTAGGGACAGCCTGTCACCTGTTCATAGTGAACACCACTGAGATTCCTTAGAATGCTAAAAAGGGCTGTGGTAAGACCCGTCTTTCCTCTTGCACACACTGGTGACAGGTGGCCACTTATCACTGGCTCCCTTGTGAGGCAGGGAGGGAAACCAGGAATGAAGATGCTATTACGAGAGCCTCTCCCACTCCCACGGCTTTTTCCCAGACTGATGAGGGGGAGCAAGGGAGGAAAACCATCTGTTCTGCCCATGGTCTGTCTCCACCAATGTGGGTAGAAACCCCCCTTCAAAATGACGACACAGAAGTGGCCCTCCCAGAACTGGCTCCTGCCCTTAGGGACCATGGTGTGGAGAAGCCGCAGGGGCAATACCCTGTGCAGCACCACAGCCCAGCAGACCCGAGGACCTCCGTGCTACCTGCACACTGTCTGTGTTGTTCAGGAGTGGAGGCTTCTTCATCCCAAAGTCGTGGGGGATCAAGGTGTAGAAGCGATTTGAGAGATCCAGGATCTGGGCATCACCGCTGCCCTGGGACAATGCCTTTAGGGGAGGGGACAGATGGAACACAGGCTGAGGCAGTAGCTCCAAGCCTACAGCACGTGGCTGGGCTTTCTCTTCTAGAAGGTGGGTGTGGCAGTGGAGTCCTGAGGTAGCCCAGTGAGTCAGCAAGTCAAGAAACGCAGGGACATTTCCAAGATGACCACCTTCCTGTTGGTGTCACATTACCCTGCAGCAGCAGGAACCCATCCTCAAACCCTGAGACTCAGCACACAGTCAGCTTCCCATAAAATCTCATTTTGTACCAAGAGCTGTGGAGTTAGAGAACCGCTATGCAAAATGTTAATTGTAGCATTTGGGTGGTGGCTCATGGAAACTGCTGTAAAATTCTTTCAACTTTTTGTATGTTTGAAAACTTTTCATAAGACAACGTTAAAAAGGAAAAAAACAACAACCATTGCTATAAAATTCAGTCTGGCCCCTTTCATCCACTGAACTTCATATTTAAAGTAGGAATTTATTTTCAGGGGGTCTAAGTATCCAGGCACAGAAGGGTTAAGTTCCCCTTCCTGCCACAATGACAATTAGCACGCTGTATGCACACGGTGTTCAATAAATGCACAACGAGATGGAGGAGCTGGACCACAGGATACTGCATACTTGGCAGACATCCTAGGTGGCAGAAGGGCAGCCAAGTTGGCACCCCGCAGGCCTGAAGCAACAAACCTGCTTCTAACAGGGACATCAGCTCCTCTAAGTCATAAAATTTCTGCCTGCTGCAGCCTGCTCTGTGCAGTGGGTAAGGATACCACCCCAGCCCTTCAACCCGGAGATTTTAGAACAGGAAAGAGCTTGGGCTTGAGGAAAGCCCTTCACGTCTCAGCCGATGGTAACAGGCCACTGCTTGAGCCCAGCTCTAAGTGGATTTAACTGCTACATTCCAGGGCCTCTACTCCAGCTTCAGCCAGAAAGCCGTTTTCCCGGCCCAACTTCAGTTTCCTGTGTGCTTTTCTTCTAAAAGCTAAACCAAACCTGCTCCCCCACCCCCAAATACAAGTGGAACCCCCCAGGGCACAGCTTGAAGGCTCTGCGGATGGGAGAACATGAATGAAATTAAGACATTAGCTATTTGATAACTTCCTAGTAATGACAAAATAAATTCAGCCTAATTCTTAATGACACACAAAATAAAATCAGATTTTTTGAGGTAGAACCAAATTCCTCATCAAGTTTACAGGAAGTTTAGTACATATCTGATCACTAGAAACACTGCTAACTCACTGGTCTTGTGATCATCTTTCATAAGCAGCAGCACTCTATCACACTTGTTGAATTGAAAAAAATCTAAATCATCATAGACTGGCCCAGAATGTCCATTAACCTCAAGTAAAGGTACTGTTGCACTCCTCAGAGGAGGGGTTCGGCCAGCAAAGGTTGGCCCAAGAGAACCACTGGGCAGCTGGGACAGAGCAGGGGTTGGCCCCTCGCTTACCTGTTGGACCTCACTGAGGATTGAGTATGCGGCCTGGATCTGTCTTTTGCTCAGCTTCCCCAAGGGCATCTTCTGGAGGTCAATCTGAGAAGACAGGGGATTTCCCCTTTGAAAGTCAGGTACTGTGGAGCATGGTGATGAGAGAGGTGGACCAATCACCCTCTCAGGCCTCTTGGGGCCCTGATGGAAGCATTCAGAGGGTGCCTGACATTGAGATGCAGTGCCCCAAGTCCTCAGACTTTGCAGTCCAACCCCCATTGCAGAGGCCAAGAGTCTATGAGAAGATTCTTGCTACTTCATGTACAGCAGGGATAAGCCAACCAGGGCTCTCCCATCCCTGTGTTTCATGTGAAATAGCCCAACACTTCTGGAAGTTTCAGCATAATTCCCAACTAATTCCAAAGTGAGGATGAGGTGAGCCCAGATGGCCTTCCTGGGAGTCTCAGAGCCAAGGTAGTCCCTGGACAGAAAACCACCGTGCAGTGGTGAAAATGACTTTTAAAAGAGAAAGCTTCTTTTTTTTTTTTTTTTTAATCCTCACCCGAGGATATTTTTCCATTTTTTGTACAGATAGAGTGGGAGGGAGAGAGAGGAAGGGAGAGAGAGAAACATTGACGTGAAGGGACACATCGAGTGGCTGCCACCCGCACGACCAACGAGGGCCGGGGACAAACTGCAACTGAAGTACGTGCCCTTAGCGGGAACCGAACCCGGGTCTCTCTGGACCGCAGGCCGACACTCTAACCGCTGAGCCAAACCGGCCAGGGCAAAAGAGAAAGCTTCTTAACATATATTATTTATATCAAGTTGATAGCGTCTCTTTCAAACCTGTCATCCCAACAGGTTAAACATTCGTTTTGGTAGTACTGCTAATGCTTACACCACCCTGGGAACTACCATCAAGAGAGGTGATAAGCTACAGTGGAAAAAAGCATGAGATTTGTAGCCAGAAGACCTGGTCACCAGTTACTAGTTGTACATCAACTTCTCAGTCTTGGGTTCTTATCTGTAAAATGGGGCCACCTTCAGAGGCACCCACATCACTGTGAGTGACCCTGCCTGTACTACTTGCCAGGCCCCCTCACAACATCTGTACACCAGGTGACCCCACACTGTATTCTAAGACACTGTCTCTGGAGCTACCCCCAGTGGACCTTTCGGAGTTCCGGGGCCCATACTGCACCTTACCCATTCTTTGCACCCCTAGCACCTGCAGGGCCTGGAACAAGGATGGAGCCAAACAGGCACCCAAGACATGGAATCACTGTAGGAATTAGATGAAATAAGCTGTGAAAGTATTCACAGTTCACCAGGCACCAACCAGGGGCCAGCAGTGACAGTGTCCAATAGCTACCACAAGCCATGGCACATACGTGTTTCTGTCCCCTCAATACTGTCCCCATCCAGAGGGAGATTTAGTTTCTGGGAAGAGTTAAACAGTTGGAAATAACTCTGGGGAACAAGGTGGATAATCATTTTGAACCAAGAAGATACAATAAAAGAGCAGAGACTTTTAGTATGAATTACAAACTGGTTCTGAAAGTAATTCTAGAGGAGGAATTCCAAAAGATGTTCTGACCAAAGGAAGTGTGACCAGAGTGAGAACAGGTACTATGAAGGGAGCACTACTCCCAAGTGGTGTCATTTTGGTATTTATTTTAAAAAGAAAAGACTGGCCCTGGCTGGTTTGGCTCAGCGGTAGAGCGTCAGCCCACGGACCAGAGTTGTGGGTTCAATTCCAGTCAAGGGCATATACGTGGGTTGCGATTTGGTCCCGGCCCTGGTTAGGGTCGTGTGAAAGGCAACCAGTTGATGTGTCTCTCTCACACTGATACCTCTCTCTCTCTCCCCGCATCCCCCCACCCCCCGCCACCTCTATCCAAAGATAAATGGAAAAATATCTGAGGGTGAGGATTAAAAAAAAGAAAAGACTGGTCTCTCTAATCTGTAAATTGCAACACACATACAGGCTATAAGAACAAGAGGAGGGCTGAATCAACACAAGCTGCCCGCAGTCCTGGAAAACAAACTCCAGGCACAGCCCTGGGACTGGTGCTGGGGCGGCAGCTCCACAGCAGCTCAGCTGAAGGGAGGAAGTGAAAAGTGGGAGAGATGCCCTGGGGTCCAGAAGCCACACCTGCAGCACAGGGAGGCTTCTAGGGTGGAAGCCCCAGCTCTGGATGCAGCATCCCCCCTCTCCCCAGCACCTCCCTGCTCTGGGCTCAGGATTCACCTCCTCACAGGGAGCACCAGCTTTTTTCCTCCTGTGAAACTAGTTACTTGTCTGAGTGAAAAACAGCATCAAGATGTCATTTCACAGGGAGAGACAGACTTGGGTCTGATAACAGTTGCAAACTTCTGTAAGTCACAGAAAAACCAGACTATAGGAAGTTTGGAAATGACATGTGGGTCATTTTGCCCTGGGCAGGACAGTGGGACTAATCGTACCACCAGCACCCCTTTCCTACCCAGCCCAGCACCCAACTTCTTCCTAAAAGCAGTTGGTATAAATTTTATCTGATAAAGTGTCCGAAGTTCCCTGAACTTCTGTCCGTGGCGATCACAGCAGCGCTTTTACTGAAAGCAGGCTACGTTCTGGACTTGCCTAAACAACTTCAGATGACCTGCTTGGTTGGGCCACAAAGAAACACGCTACAGACCCTACCATGGTAACAAGAAGGAGAAAGTGCGAGGGGGGCTGGGAACCCAGGAGACAGCTCTCTACAACACACCCTACATTTCACAGCAAGTTTAACAACCCTTCGCAAGCACTCTAGGCCTTGGTTCACCTGCATCTGACTCAGGCTTAAGAACAGGTAGAGATGCCGAATCCAACAAGAATAGTCATTGAACTCAGCATTCCAATCACTGACCCCTGCAAATTCTCAGATAAAACAAAATAGTGCACTAACCTCATATTCCACCATGGCTTTCTTCATACTTTCCACATCAAAGATCATCTTAATCAGATTTTGCACTGGCTTGGGGAGCTTGGACTTGGTGCCAGGGTTTACTGTCAGTTTCTTCACTGCCTCTTCATCCTTTGGGGAAAAAGGTTGTTACAAAGGAAAAGAAAATCAGCCCTGCCGGTGTGGCTCAGGGGTTGAGTGTTGACCCATGCATCAAGGATCACTGGTTTGATTCCCAGTCATGGCACATACCCAGGTTGTGGGTCCGATCCCCAGTGGGGGGCATGTAGGAGGTAGCTAATCGATGTTCTCTCTGATTGATGTCTCTCTCTCTTTCTCCCTCTCCCTTAAAACCAATAAAGAACACACACACACACACACACACACACACACACAGAGGGAGGGAGGGAGAGAGAGAGAGAGAAGAGAAGAAAAGAAAATCATTAAGAGATCCAAATAAATAACCCAAAGTGGTGGTGGTGTCTGAGGTTTGGGCTGCACATAGAAGACAAAGGATAGAGTGCCACCAGCAAAAAGGCTAATAAGCTTCAATCAACAGGGTTTGGGCAGCAGTTGCTAGGGAGTGTGTGTGAATCTGCAGAAGGATCAGATCCTTCCAGTGTACCCCCAAGTCCTCTCGGCTGTTCCACATTCTTATTTCAGATGCTACTGCAGCACCCAGCCCTATATAGGCTGCCCTGCAAACACACCCCCCTCACCAATTCCTGCTCATTGTCTCACATTCTCAGGTTGCTGGTGCCCTGCATGTGAATTGCTCAGTGCCCACTCATGCCCAACCCAGAAATACTTGGCAGTTATGAGAGCAAACCTGGGATCAAGGGGAAATTGGACAAATTCTCCCTTACTTCTCTTGCACGGCCTCACCCCTGGCCAACTGTATGAACACTAAGTTCATACAGACTTCTCTACAGTCCCAGTTACTGCCAGGCTACTGGACAGTGTTAAAGTGCATCCTCACATTAGCACCCCACCCCCACTCTCCATCTCTCACCACTCTTCCCTGGGACTGCACTTCCTGATAAACTAATAGCACAGACACAACCCCCACTGCCTGCACAATCCAGGCTAAGAAGCCAAGACCACACTGTAATGGAAATGCCTTAACTCTTCTCACTTTTCAACCACACGAGGGCAAGGACTATGCTGTCCATTACAGTGCCCTTAGAAACTGATGGCTTTGATCTGGCTGGGTAGCTCAGTTAGTTAGAGTGTTGTCCTAAAGTGCCAAGATTGTGGGTTTGATCTCTGGTCAGCGCACATACAAGAAGCAACAAATGAATGCACAAGTAAGTGGAATATATATCGATCTCTCTCTCCCCCCCAGCGATTCAATTCCACCTCTGGGTATTTATCTGAAGAAAATGAAAACACTAAATTCGAAAAGATATATACACCTCCACGTTCACTGCAGCTTTATTTACAAAGCCAAGACATGGAAACAACCTAAGTGTTCACTGATAGATGAATGGATGAAGAAAATGTGAAACTGCCCGGCCAGTGTGGCTCAGTGGATTGAGCATTGCCCCATGGACTGAGAGGTTCTGGTTCGATTCCCAGTCAGGGCACATGCCTGGGTTGCAGGCTCAATCCCTAGTAGGGGGCGTGCAGGAACAGCCAACGGGTGTACCTCTCTCACATCGATGTTTCTATTTCTCTTTCCCTTCAATAAATACCAATTAAAATATATTTTAAAAAAAGAAAATGTGAAACACACACACTGGAATATTATTTAGTAACTAAAAAACAAAATCTTGCCATTTTCACCAACATGAACACTGAAGGCATCATGCTAAGCTAAGCATAACTCAGAGAAATACTAATATAAACTTACTTATCTGTGGAATCTTAAAAACAAAACAAACCCAAATAAAAAATGTACCAAGGAAAAAATCCCCCCAAATCCCAAAACAAGCCCATAGACGAAGAGAAGAGACTGGTAGTTGACAGAGGTAGGAAGTAGGGTGGGGTGGGCAAAATGGATAAAGTGGTTCAAAAAGTGTAAGCTTTGCTCTGGCTGGTTTGGCTCAGTCGTTAAAGCATCAGCCCATGGACCAAAGAGTCGCGGGTTTGATTCCAGTCAAGGGCCCGTACCTTGGTTGCAGTTCGGGTTCCCAGTTCTGGTCAGGGTCATGCAGGAGGTAACCAATCAAAGTGCCCCCCCGCCCCTTCTCCCTCCCTCTCACTCTATCTGAAGATAAATGGAAAAATATCCTCGGATGAGAACTTAAAAAAAAACAACAAAACACCCAAAAAACAAAAAGTATAAGCTTTTAGTTATAAAGAAAAAATATTTCTTGTACCTGTATCAGATGATGGATGTTAACTAGACTTAATGTGGTGATCGTTTTGAAATACATGTATCATTATGCTATATACCTGAAACTAATGTCATGTTATCAATTTTATCACACACACAAAAAACTAAAAAAACAACAACAAAATATAAAACTATGACCTAGGAGAGCATGTCAAGTCACTGTAATTCTATCTTGATGATAAACCAGGTCACATGCTCTAGAATCTATAAATTATTCTGTTGTCTTTAAGGAGAAACTTCAAAGACTGTTCCTCCTTGAGGGTCTCAAAACTGCTAATACATCAGGGCTCTATCTCATACTTCATGGTATGGGTCTTATTCATGAAGGGTACTGGATTTTATTAAATGCCTTTTCCCTATGTATTAGGATGATCATGTGGCATCTGTCCTTTATTCTATTCATATTATTTTATGAATTGATTTTTGTATGTTGAACCAACCTGCTAGATTCAGTTTGTTAGTATTTTGTTGAGGGTTTTGCATGTATATTCCCAGGATATTGGTCTTTAGTTTTCCTGTGATGTCTTTACCTGGCTTTGGTATCAGGGTGATATACTGTATTTGGCCTCACATAATGAGTTGAGAGTGTTCCTTTCTCTTCTATTTTTTGGAAGAGTTTGCAAAGGATTTGCAGTAATTCTTTAAAACATTTGGTGGCATTTTCACCAGTGATGCCATCTGATTCATGGCATGCTTTTAAAAGAATCTAGTATCCCTTCCTTTTACTATAACTACCTGGTGTAAGAGCATTCAGTGATTACCTGGCCGTAGTCAATCTCCAGGGGGTAAAACTTTTTGGGATACTTTGTGAAGTTTTCGGAATGCCAGGCATTCCCGGTTTTCTCTTCATATAGTTTCATAAAGTGCTCAATGGCATCCTCCTTGGATGGCATCTGCTCCAATTTGTTACTACCAATCACTGTTCCCACACGGCCCCAGGACCTGAATATCCAATACCTATGAGGGCGGCAAAGGAGGGAGAAGAGGAGCATCAGACATAAATTTGTGGGTTAGCTGATAACATTTCAGGAGTTTACCTTCCCTGACATTCTACTTGGGTGAGAAAGAACTGTTGCAAACACCCCAAAATGATGGTGAGTGACAGAGGAACAAAAGGAACTGACATTATAATAAAGGACATTTTTCTTTTACCGAGTTGAGAGTTATAATAAGTTTAAACTAATTAAAGAATGTCCTTTCAAAAATTGCCTAAAGAAAGTGCCTAAGAACAGCTTAAGCTTGGACCTGGCAGCCAAGCTAGGTGGCTTACAGACTTTTAAATACCCAATTCCGCTCCCCAAACAAATACAGCAAGTATCATTTGGAAGTCACATGTTTAAAGAGATGCAGCCATTAACAACATACCCTAAAGATAATGCAGAACTTTTGGTTCAGATCAGAAGCTGAGATGTGATGAAATGAGACCATGGGACAGCGGCATACAAGGTTAGCCACCTCAGACTCAGGCTATTATTATGTTTCCATTTCAATTTAGGGAACATATCTCAGGTACCCTCTAGCTCCTGTGCTGCCTGCATTTGGCTAACTTAATTTTTCTTAGTGGAATGGATAAATTCAATTTTATATTACTTTAAGTATAAATATATTAGAAACCAAATACAAGACTTGTATGCATTTTAAAGGTAAAACCAGAATTCAAAGAAAATTTGGGACTTCCTGGTATTTTCCTGGGCTCTTGCCCAAAGACATATACATTTATTTTGTTGATTTTTTCCCCCTGGAAATGTTTATAAGACACCACACTGACCTATCCTGAAAAACATTTTCTGACCCTAATAACCCACACTATCACTCTAAAAACCAATAAATCTAGGCCACCAGGAAAATGCACACATCCACAATCACCATTAGAATTTCTCGTTGCTGGTGGAAATTTTTATTCTCACTGCCTGTCATTTAACAGACCATGACACTGTATATTTCTACAAAAATCCTATTCCTTCTCCTGCAATACAATATACATCTAGCTTTTGGAAGGTATATTTTACAAGCAAAAAACCATTTTTGACTTTCAAATCTCTGACTAGAATAGGTAATAAACTAAGTAACAATTAAGGTTTATTTCTTTAGAAATTTTTAGTAGCCAACCAAATACTTTGTACTCTATGGTTATCTCTGATGTCCCCCCTTGCCCCTTTTTAAATCCTCACCTGAGGATATTTTTCCATTAATTTTTAGACAGTGGGAGAGAAAACATCAATATGTGATGCATTGATTGGTTGCCTCTGGCATGACCCCAACCAGGGTTGGGGATCGAACTTGCAACCCAGGTAAGTGTCCTTGACTGGGAATAGAACCTATGACCTGTCTGTCCTTGGGCTGACGCTCTAACCACTGAACCACACCAGCCAGGACTGATGTTCATTTTTAAAATGAAAGGTATGGTGAAAAGATGAAGAGATGGGAAGAAGTTAAGCCATGATAGTGCTTACAAATTGAGGCTAGCAGGATTTACCGGGTGCTGACTTTTAATTCCCTTGGGCTACCATTACACAGGGGTTTGCCTTTCCACTAGAAAACTTTTTTTGGATCTCCTGGAGTTCCAATGGGTAAATGGTTTTCATGTGCTAAAAAGAAAAGGTCAAGTTTAACATATGAAAGTAATTTTTTAAAAATGTCTTTTTCACCATAAGAATTCAATGAATTCCTTCCACACACCTTTCTACCTACATATAGCTCCCATTCCACGTTGGCTATATTAAGGGACGATCAACCAGTGGATGATGAAAGCCAGTCCAGCCCCTCAGTACCCCAGAAGTGGCCTGTCTAGCTCTACAAGGTTAAAAAAATAACAACAAAAAACGCAAATCCAAACATCTTTAATAACTAGTGAGTTTGAAGTAAAATTAAAGAGTAAGTTCAGTTCTTGCCAAACTACTTGCTCCAGAAGTTTAAAAACATGTGTAAAGGTATCAGAAAATCTAGAATCTTTGAGCGGCTATAAGAGTTGCAAAATTATGTAACACTGCACCCTGTGAAGATGGCCAGACCGGACACAGGAGAGCAAGGTTGTCTGGTGGTGACGCATCTTCCCTCTCTCATTAAAGGTCTCATTATACACCGTGTTCTTTGTGAGACTAAATTCTCTAGGTACTGAGAAAACTTGGGTTTCATGATGCTGAAAGCACAGCAAAACGGGCCCACACCTTTCATACAGCACAGCTCCCCTGAACACTCTCCTATCCCCAGAACACACCTGCTTCCTTGATCATCCTCCAGGAGCTGCAGCTTGTAATAGGAATTGGTTCCTTTAACAATGTCCACGAGGCCAAGGGTGGCGCTGAAGACCTTCCCACCTTTCTCCAGAACGTGTGCAGAGCGTTCCAGACCTGTCAATAAAGGCAGGGCTCCTAGAGCTTCCTCTCCCACAGAGGGGCCAGTGAGCTCAGGGAGAAAGGGGTCGGCAGGCACAGAGTCCACGCTTGCTTGGATACCCTAACACCACCTTTGGGAGGTTCCTCACAAGATGTGTGTGTTCTCAGGACAGGATGGGAGGGGAAGCCCACTAGGAGGCACAAGGGCAAAGGCAGGCCCTACTCTGCTCATATCACCCGTTTGCTTACCAGAATCAGGATCCACAGCAGCTCCTCCTTTAAGAGTTAATTTCACTGTCTTTTCAGATTTGTTGATTCCTTAGAAGGGGACAGAGAGATGTGAACATTAAATTAAAAGGGGAGTGGGAAGTCAAGACAAGCGGGTAATTTTCACTTTTATGATATGTCAACACAATACCTGTGTGCCTTCCACCACCCCAGGCCATTGTAGTGGCACAAAGGGTGAGGCTCTGCACAGGCAGACATGGGACAGGCCATGACTTATGGCCAAATGGGGTCACTGGCATCGCTGTCTCTTGGCCCCCGGGGATGGCAGCTCAGGGCCTCACCTTCTTCCTTGACGGGGCCCTTGCTCTTTTTGGAGACCATGGTCCCCGACTTCCCTCTTGGAACCGCGACTTCAACAGGCTCCGCCTTCACCTCAGCACCCCAGGGGGACAAGACGTGGGCTGAAACCAGCTCCTGAAAGCTCTTGGCTGAGGTGGCAATGTCCTGGAGGAAATCCTCAGACACAACTCGAATGTTGCCCTCTTTTACTTCCTCCATCTTTTTATTCATCTTTTCCACCTCCTCTGTTCAAATCAGGAAAGAAAAAAAAAGCCAAACAACAAGTTTAAAACTAATCTTAAATCTCAAATTACTAGTCGTACTGACTGATTACTTCCAAACTCTCATCACCCACAGCTCTCCTTTCCTTCCGAATCCAGTGTTCTTGCTCTTAGGCTATTTCCACAACTGTCTCTCTCTCTTTTTAAAATTAATGAATGTATTTTTGTTAAAGATGTTCCCCCCCTTGACATCCTCCTTCCTGCTCCTGTCCCCTCCTACCCCCGCCTCACAGTACTGTCTATGTCCATTGATTATGCATATACTGTATGTTTTTTGGTTTATCTCTTCCTGCTCTCCCCCCACGACTGTCTTTTACCAGCAACATTCCCCTTTCTCTAGGCATGACAGGTTAATGCCATCTTCTCCAAACCATTCTACAGAATGAGTTTTTAATTGACATTCCACAGAAAAAGGACCCTGAAGTCAAATATGTTTGAAAAATGCTGCATACCATTTCTCTGGTCTTGGAGATTCACTACAACGGTTGTCAGTGTAATAATGCTGCAAAGAAACCTATTTACCTTTGCTTAACTGCACTTCCTAAATGTATTTAGGTTATGAACTTTGTTTTGGCAGCAAACCTACTAACACCTTGTGGCAGAGTGTAGGTGATGAGAATAGTAGCCTCCAGTCCTTTGTGGAGAATAGAAGGCACGTGAATATGCTCCAGTCCCGAGCAGCAGCACAAGGCACACAGGCTGGCAGCTCTTCCTACAGAACCAGAGCAGTGGCGCTGTCTGTGTGAGACACTGTGTTAAGCACATCACCTCACTTAATCCTCATCACAGAGAGTACTACTTCAGGTTTACAAATACGATTTAACTCACTTTTGGTGCTGATGCATAAGGAGGCCTTGTTGGCCGTCCCTGTCAACTTCCCCCCGAGTTTCTCGACCGTGGCCTTCACTTCATCCTTGTTCCGGGAGAGTTTCCCAAGAGTCAAGATCTTCATGTTGGACAGTGGCTTATCTGGGATGGGAAAACAGAATCGTGAGGCAGGGCTGCTCCCCAGGGAAAAGCCAGGACAGGATGTAGGGTCCCTGGACAGCCTCAGCACCCCTCTTTCACCAGCTTCTCCTGAGGGAAGTCTATGAAAAAAGAAGTAAAGGGCCAGTAGGAAAGCAGAGGATAGGACATCAAACTGTCATCTATACTCATCCCTGGCACAGAAAGGCCAGGGATCAGGAGGCTGGCAGTGATGGGAAGCAGAGAGGTAGGTCACGTGAACTCCCAATTACTTTTATTATTCTCTTCCTTCCATTTCACATCTAAAAACAAACTGTAACTTCTTATGCAATATTAGTAATTGACCCCATTTAAAATATCAGACTTGTCCATGACAGTCACTCAAAGATTTGATCACAATGAGCTGAGACAACCGATTCCAGGGAAAAAGAAGACCCTAGCATTTGAGGTGTCCAGCACTAAACCCAGGCCAGGGGTGCACCATTATTTGTGGATGCTGGGAATGCAGTGCTGATGACACATTCCTAAAACAAGAGGTGCCATAGGGAAAAGTCCTGCAAGCCCTCCACATGTCTAAACAAAGACAGTGGGTCTCTTCCCCTGACAAAAAACACAAACTGATCTCATTATCTCTATTGATGTGCAGTATTTCTCACTAATATTGATCAGTAACTTCCTTTGCTGGCAAGATATACAGCAGGTCTCTGGATGTAAGCAATCCCAGCATCATATCAGGCTCAGGATGACTGACTGGTGAAGGGCCGCCCCAAGGCAGGAAAGTGATACCCGGAGAGATGCTCTGTATAGCTAGGCAAGGTACACTGAATGCCATTCCAGGTAAGGCCATCTACCTCGCCTTTCTTAGGAAATTCCCTCCCAACCTCCCTTCTGCTTGGGGGAGCGAGACAGGGCTTCCTCACAGGATCAACAACAGCAAACTGAGAAAGATATCCTGTTCTCCCAAAGATCAGACCCAGCCCACCCGCCCTCCCCACCCGGCCCTGGAGCTCTACCTGGTGGGGCAGAGGAGTTCACAGTAGCAGGCGCTGAGGCTGTGGAAGGCGGCGGTGCTGCCACCACTGGGGCACTGGTCTCTGGGGGGAATATACGGTCCTGCTTTTTGACCTTCAATTTCTTGAGGTAAGGGATTTCTCGGAATTCCTAAAGAATTTAAGTTTCAGTTAAGAAACCAGTTCTCCCTTGAAATAACCACCTGATAGAGCAAAGATAATTTCTCTTGTCCAAATTAAAGAATCTCTTTTTTTTCTTTTTGCAATAAAGAATGACATAAATGGCAATCAGGGCAATTCCCTATCCTTAGAAAAAAAATCACAGCTGTAGAGCCCAATAATAGTGTTCAATACAAATTCTCCTATCAGTATAGTTATCTTCATCCCAGGTGACTTGCAATGGGCTGTGCTCTGAGTGGTCACTTGATTAATATCAAATATAGACCACCCCCCTTAGCCATGGTTTTGTTTTCTGAGGTTTCATTTACAGTCAAACTCAGTCTGAAAAGAAGAAATAGAAAATTCCAAAAATAATTTCACTAGGTTTTAAATTGCATGCCAATGATTTTTATGTCAGGGACATACATGATCATCCCTTTGTCCAGCGTCTCCATGCTGTATATGCTACCTGCCTGCTAGTCATTTAACAGTCATTTCAGTTATCAGATCAAATATCAAGACACTGCAGTGCTTGTGTTTAAGTCATCCTTATTTTACTTAGTATGTATAGGATCTGGTATTATCTGCGGTTTCAGGCATCCACTGGGGCTATCCCCCGTGGATAAGGGGGGGCTACTGTACATGAAGTCCAGGGAATACCATAGTTCACATGCACCTAAGTCTTCATTCAATCAAGAAACAGCCCTCTTCTACTATATCCACATTCAATGAATGACTGCTGGATGAAAGAGGTAACAGATTCATTTCCAACATATGCTGAGCACCTAACATGAGCCACATATCACAGTGAGGTTAAAAAGACAGTTTCTGCCTTTGAGAAAGAAGTTCAACCAAGGCAAACTTTATACAGGAGCCAAGTTCTAAACCAAAACGTGCTATGGTAATGCAAGACTGGACTGTTGGAAGGGCTCCTTAAAGGCAGTGACTTGCTAAGTAGCCCCTTAAACAGGGGACTGTAGAAGCAAAGACATTTGACTGACTTATCATGGTTTGCTGGGAACCCAGGTAGTTAGTTCCCTGTTGTTGGGAATGTAAAAAATTAGAAGTGTATGTGTACAGGGGTGGAGAGAGTGGTATGTGAGGAGAAAAAGGGTGGCAGGGAGAGGCCATACAGGCCAACACAGCCAGATCACAAAGGGCTTTAGGTAGGGGTTGGGATGTTCAAGCTAAGGAGCTGACTTGATTCTCTGGGCCAAGATCCTGGGGGCAGCAGAGGCACTGCATGGAGTCTGTAAATCCATGAATTCACATGGGCAACAAGCAAGCTGTGCACCTGAGAAAAATGTATCACACATGCAGATACCCTTTTAAAAATATATGTTTTTATTGATTTGAGACAGAGGAAGGGAAAAGGGGAGAGTGAGAGCGAGAAATATCAATCAGCTGCCTCCTACATGCCCCCTACTGGTTCCCTGATTATGAATCGGACCGCTGACCTCTCAGTGCATGAGCAATGCTCAACCAATTGAGCCACACAGGCCAGGGCTGCGGATACTCTTTTAAAATACTCCTTAAAAAAATACATATAGCCCTGGCCGCTGTGGGTCAGTTGGTTGGGCATTGTCCTGTACACTAAAAGATTACTGGTTTGATTCCTGGTCAGGGCACATGCCTGGGTTTTGGGCTCAATCTCCAGTATGGGGCATGCAGGAGGCAGCTGATCAATGTTCTGCTCTCACATTGATATTTCTCTTTCTCTTTTCCTCTCCCTCCCCTTCTCTCTAAAAATCAATAAAAATATTTAAAAGTATATACATCTAGCCCTGGCTGGGTGGCTCAGTTGGTTGGAACACCATCCCATATACCAAAAGGCTGTGGGTTTGATCCCTGGTCAAGGCGTGAACAGGAGGCAACCCCTAGATGTTCTTTCTCCCTTCTTCTCTCTAAAAAAAAGAAAATAAACATATCCTTGGGTGAGGGTATAAAAAGTAGATACATACACAGAGATACTGTGCAAATGACATGAAGTACAAAATAGTTCAAATCGACATTCTCTCTCACTGATGTTTCTATCTCTCTTTCTCCCTTCCTCTATCTAAAATCAACAACAAAAATAGTTCATATTACTTATTAACTTGTTATTTTTCTCAAAGATAGAAGAGATACAAATACCACAAAAATGTCTGTTATATTTAATACTCAAAAAAACTGGGAAAGGCTCCTCTCTCCTTAGAGGTAGTCTGGCAGGCTAATTCCAATAAACCTGCACTCCTGGAGACCCTGCAAAAACAAAACAAAAAACTGGAAAAATATTTCTATTTTTTTTTTTTTTAATCCTCACCCGATGACATTTTTCCATTTTTTGTACAGATAGAGTGGGAGGGAAAGAGAGGAAGAGAGAGAGAGAGAAACATCGATGTGAAAGGGACACATCGAGTGGCTGCCACCCACACGACCAACCAGGTCTGGGGACAAATTGCAACCGAGGTACGCGCCCTTAGCGGGAACCGAACCAGGGTCTCTCCGGACCGCAGGCCGACGCTCTAACCGCTGAGCCAAACTGGCCAGGGCTGGAAAAATATTTCTATAGGAACTGGGGAATTACTGTAAGATATTAAGGGTGGGGGAAGTGACAAGGCCAAATTTGTTTAGCGTGATCACTCCAGAATAAATATAGAGAAAAGACTGGGAGGGAGGGAGGGAGTGTTATATGGTAGTGAACAGAGGAGGCAGGAAAGCAATGAGCCAGGGCAGGAGGGCCAGTGGAACAATGGAGTTAGCTGAGTTAGTGGTGCCAAAGGGACACTAAAGTAGCAATTAGTAGGTGCTTACTATGTGCTGCTGTTCCAAATGCTTGCCCCTCAGAAGAATGCACAAGGAGAGATAATATGATGAAGATCAAACCCCAAATCCCACTTAGTTGCAGCCATGACTGCCCCAGACAGCTGGGCACCAGCTGAGTTTGAGGACATAGGTGGAGTCCTTCCAGCAGCTAAGTCCCCAAAGACACTGTCAGTCCCCCACCAACACAGTTCCAAATGATGTCCCTCAATTGAGGTTTTGTGTGCACCTGAGAATTCAATATGTAGTTCCATTATAAAAGAGATCAACAACAGGAGATATCTGAACTCTGGACCTAGCTTCACCCCCTCTTGCATAAGGTAGGGAAATATCCTCAAGAAACACTTTTCTATCCTAAAGGCAGGAATTATCCATTTAGTCACCATACACCCTGTGTTTAGAACAGTGCCTGGCACAGAATAAGAACTCGATAAACAGAAACAGAAATAATCCATGGTCTTTGCAAGTAAAACAATTTTACACCAGTTGTACAAACCTGTACTCCAGTTAGAAATGCCTTGGTTCTACACTTGTGTAATTTTTAAATGTACAGAACCAAGAATAGAATTTTGTATTCTATTTACAAGGATAGACCAGCTCTAAGAAATTCTGAGGAACACTTCCCTGCAATCATGGTGACCTGGAGTGAAGGGACCATGCTTTTCTGCCAACAAATCCCAGGATCCTCCCTGCTTACCTTTGGGGTCACCCACTCCTTCCGGTTGGGTGTCTGTGTCTTAACCATACACTTGGTCCAGGCAGTGACGTCCCCAGTGCAGTAATAAGCATCACTCTTGAAGACCAGCTGGCCAGAGCATTCCTTGCAGGGAAGGAGGGCACCAAACACTATGCCATCAGCTACACGGTCCAAGATCTGAAGCCAGTGAAGAAGCGTGTCGGACGGAAAAGGAAAGGCTACAGTAAACGACATCACGAGTGCAGGACGAAGCGTTTGCACAGACGGCGCTCACTAACACAGAAGAGAGGGCTTGCCTGGTTTCAGCTGGCTTATAGGTGGAACTTAGATTCTTATACTTTAAGTCCACACACGTTCTTGCAGTTCCCACTTCCCTTGGTGACTGAGACATAAAGGGAGAGCCAGAGCACCCACTGCTCCTGCACAAGGAACAGTGCCAACCTCTCCTCCACAGACCTCACAGCCCTTGGGCAGTTTGGGCAGAAGGCAGCACAGAGAGCTCCTCAGGCCAGTGTGGTATGAAAATACAAGGCAAACATTAAGTCCCACCCCAGTCCTCACCAAAATTCTAAACCAAGGGCTACCTTGTGGAAGATCTGAAAAGGCCTAAGGGAGCCTGCCCTTTCCTACCCTTGGGAAATGGTGACCACAACAGTAATGACCATGCAACACACTATGGAATTGTCACTCTTCCTAATTAATACCAGCAGGTGTTCAATCGGAGGGCCTCCCATAGTCCGAGAGGACAGTCACTCCACAGCGACCTGGCTGCCTCACACGCGTTTCACTTAACACAAAGGCAGCTCACCGCCGACTCCCCGGAGGGCACTTGCTGCTTGTTGAAGATGAGCAGCTCTTTCAGGTCGTTCGTTGAACACACTTTCTTTAGCTCGTCCTTGATGTTCCAGATCAGGTCGTTCTGGGCCTATTGACAAGACCCAGCCATTGAGAGACCAGTTCTTTTCAAAGAAAGAAATCCAACAACCAGAGAAGACCCCACCGATCTTGCTTGTCTCCAGCCACATTCTCAGCTAAGCTGCCCTCCAAAGTTGGTCTGATCAACAGGGAAGTGTGGCTCCCCATCCTGCTCCTGTGGATGCCAAAGCAAACCCAGAACGAGGTCTCTCAAAGACACTGTGGAAGGTGGGGAGGAGACCACTAAGGGACATGGGGAAGGCTGCTGTCTAGGAACCAGGGTTCCTGGATTCAACCGTTCAGAAACAAATGCCAGGAGACACAGGAAAACCCCCAGGTTTATCAGCCCAACACCTGTGCTTAAGGAAGGTAGGTGGACGTGGCTGCTCTCCACTAATACGAGAGTGAATGGGGGAATTCTCAAACACCTATTTCCTCAGTGCAAAAGAGCACCACAGCTCTACCGCAGTCAGATTTGGACCATAACAAACACATTTTTTTATAAAGGGCAACCACACCAAATCTGTCCTTATCAAACAACTGGAACAAGATTAGAAATTGCTTCTAATTTATATACCACTGGCAAAAACTGAATACTCATGTAAGAGAGCCAAGCAGATGGCTCATGGAAATCAAGTTCCCAAAAGAGACCAAATGTTCTCCCCGAGTTCCCCAAACAGCTAGCAGTTTAATAATTTGCACTTTGCTTCAATGCACGTGTAATCAACACAGTGATGAATCTCTGGTCAATAACTACTGCTTTAATGGGTAGTCTTCTCCTCTTCACTATATTGCCTTCTATTCCTTTCCCCCCTTCTTTTAAACAAGAGACCTTCATAAAAAAAACAAACCAAGAAACAACCTTGTCTCTTCAAAGGCATTTGTCTATGCTAAGAACCTTTGGCATCCTTAAATCTAATATTCAGTTTCCAAGTATCCCTAAGGTCCAGGATGCACAGTGATGTACTCTGTGGCTGAGGCAGGAATCCATCATCTTGGTTGAGGCTGATGAGTGGGACCGACCTCCTAGCTCCTGCCTGAGCCTGGTTGCTGGTCTGGGACCTGGAGCCTAATGTGGGTTCTCCTTCAAGAAAACCACCTGGGGAAAAAGCCATGCTTCTTAACAACAACTATCAATTTGGGAATTCCAAAAGGTCTGGGTAAGTAGGACAGCCACACCTCCTTGAATTTCCTTCCCAGAATGAGGAAAAAGAACTGAGACAGAGTGGCAGGAGACACACAGCTCAGAACTCACCTTGAGGGCCTTTTCAAGCTTACTATCTTTGCCTTTCTCTTTTTTAGATTTCTTCTTGGCCACTTGGTCCATTCCATCTACCTCGTCGCCTTTCCTCTTTCTGAAAGAGATGCAGGATATAAGAGAAAGAACCAGAGCCACAAAAACTCTGAAATCCAGTGACCTGGGTTCCATAGTATCTTGTTATCTCAACTCTTCTCTGCAGGCCCTGCTTGCTGTCTGCTTAGGCAGTGTTTGCACTGACTTCATCCACTTCAGAACATACTCAGCTGCCAAGGAGGGACCTCAGGGTTGCCCCAGAGCCTTGGAACAGCCCAGTACAGGATCCAGGGCTCAGGTTCCATCTGATGTCAAAAACTCCATGTACTTCTCGACACAAACAAAACAACCTGGAAGGTTCTAGGTAAGCACAATGCTAGAAGTAAGCCCATACCTAGAGTCTGAGCCTTTTAAGGCTGCTTCGAAGGCCAAGAGGCAGTTGTGAGGTGAGGCTGCACTGCTATTCAATCGGCACTGCTCACCAGTCTGCCTCAGCTGGGTCAGCAAACACGGCTGAACAAGTCCAACAGTGTCACCCTGACCCAAGGAAGGCACGGAGCGTCTGCAGCAGCCCTTAAAAATGGGGCAGGACAAACTTGGCTGGCTTGGCTAAGTGGTTAGAGCACTAACCTGTGGACCAAAGAGTTGCAGGTTTGATTCTGGTCAAGGGCACATACCTTGGTTGCGATTTGGTCCCCGGCCCTAGTCGGGATTGTGTGGGAGGCAACCAACTGATGTGTCTCTCTCACGTCAATGTTTCTTTCCTTCTCTCTCCCCCTCCCTCCCTTTCACTCTATTTGAAGATAAATGAAAAAATATCCTCAGGTGAAGATTAAAAAACAAACAAACAAAACACCCACAAAAAAACAGGGCAGGACAGTCACAGTGGTTAAGACTCCATTACAGCTGTTACACAGACATGAGTCAAATCCTTGCATTTTTCCTCATCCATAAAAGCAGGAAAAAGAATACCATCTACCTTATAGGACTGTGATGATGGTTAAACAAAATATCACATATGAAGTGTTTAACACAGTGCCTCGCATATCAAAAGTGCTCCATCAATTCTGGTGGTTGTTATAGCATATGCGCAGGTTTATGCATCCCTACACCTACACCATGTGCTGCAATGCCCTGAGGATTTAATCCATGGGCCAGATTTCCCGCTTTTTGTATAGAGTCCTGAGCCACACATGCTGTGCTGTGAACTTGTGTGCTATGAACGAAAATAATGCAGGGCAGCTGTTTGATATTAGGGTCACCCTGATCCTAATATGGTGGTGCACAGTCACTTTCCCAGGAGCACGGTGCACACCTTGACCCTGCCACATCTCTCTTGGTGTGCTTGTTACCAAGCAACACTAGACTGGGGGTGAAGGACCAGCAAAGGGAAAACTGAAAAGAATAAGTGCCCATGGACTCAAGATAAGTCACTGGTAGGTCTTCCCATCCTAAATGCTAACACCATATAAAATCCATGCCATTCTAACCTTTAAACCAGGGACCATCTTACTGACTGCCTCCCTTCCACCCCATTAAAAAACTGTCATGATCTTCCCAGCACCATAGCTCAGAGACATCTAGACACAAAGGAACACACCCTGACAAGAGGAGGTCATGTAGGGGTAACAGGATCAGACCAGGAGCACCAGGAGCCCTTCCCTGCTGTCCTCCACTACCACAGCTGGGAAAGAGGCAGAGCTGAGCTGTCACTGTCCCTCAGTCTGCATCCCTGGCTTTCCCAAGGTCAGCAAGGGGAAACGCAGGAATGGTATGGAATCTCTGGGGTCTCTGGGCCTACATCAAGCTTCTCACTAAACCCCTCTTAAAGTCCCCATGGCCCTCCACCCACCCTTCACTCTTGACTCCTGGGAGCTGCTTCTCCAGGGCTTCCTTGTCCTCAGAAGCAAGCAGGCTGAAGCCCTTGAGTTGGCTCGCACTGTATTCGGGACGGAAACCCAGCTCCTCTCTGTTCTGAACAAAGCAGTATGGGTGGTACCAGCGGTCAATCATGCCCAGCTGGGGCTTCTCCGGGTCCAGCATCTTCTTGGACAGGCGCACCTGGCCCTATAGGAAAAAAAACCCACACGAGGTACTGAGACAAAAAAGGAGGGAGAGACATCTGGGACCAGGGGTGACCAAGCCAGCCCATGCGCCAGCCAGCAAGGGGCCTCAGGTCTATCCCAGGGGTAATGTGAAGACTGCTGGGAGGTTTTGGCTCTTTTATGCCACCAGTGATTGTGTTACCCTCAATTCCCAGCACCTCCATTTTAAATGGGCTCAACTTCCTGTCTATCAGTGAATCAATCAATCATCTATTCAACTGCCTGGGCAAGTCAAGGATGTGATAACTGCGCAACCTGAGAAAGAAGACACCTACTAAGAAGGGCTCCTGGTGGCTAACTAGGCTCATATGAAAAAAACCACTACCACAGAGCCTAGCAGCTCTTTCTACAGGGGCCTCTTACACAAACTGCGCTTCAGGGAGAGGCCTGCACAGAACTGCTTGCCTGCACTGTGTTTCTGCCACCTGATTTAGCCCTTATAAAGGAGTTCTTAGGCCCAGCTGGTGTGACTTAGTGGTTGAGTGTCAACCCATGCACCAAGAGGTCGTTGGTTCGTTTCCTGGTCAGGGTACATGCCCAGGTTGTGGGCCAAATCCCCAGTGGGAGACACAGGAGGCAGCCAATCGATTCTCTCTCTCTCTGAAAAATATCAATAAAGAAGAAGAAAAAGGAGTTCTTGGAATCCTGTTTCAACCAATACGACTGAGGCTTTCCCCATCCAATCAGAGCAGCTTTATTCTGACCAATTAGGACAGTGCCTTTTGGACCAATTAAATTGTGAGAATTTGGAATCCTCATTTACATGAGGATGGAACAATCAGGGACCAAGGGCAGGGATTTCTGTCCATGTAAGCCAGCTCCCCTCTGCCTACGAGATCCCTGAATATGAGACTGCACTGCCCCGGCTCTACAGTGCGGTGTTTCACAGCTGTGCTGTATCACCACTGAGCCGTTTGCACTAGTTTCCTTCTTCACCTCACCCCATATTAGGGATTCCTGTTGACACTGAATTGGTACCAACAACCATTGGTTGACATATTTTCCTGAGGATGTTGGGCTGACTCAGAACAGACATTAAGAACACAATATAGTAGGCTGGGGCACAGCTGGGGCCTTGAACTAACTGTATTTGGGACACTGAATCTCAGGCCCAGGAGCCAGAGCAGGCCCCCAGTCCCAGCAGGGATTTTCTGCCTCACTCCCATCGGTCGAACCTAGTCCTGCCATCCTGCCCAGGCTCACAGTTCTAGGCCTGACTTTCCTAGGAGAGTTCCATGCCGGTGAGCCCCATACCCAGGCAACTGAGCACAAAGGGGGCTGACGTTATGAAAACTCCATTTCAGGACAAGCAACACTCAACAGCACAAAGCTTCTGATATTCCCCTTGAATCCTAAACTTTTGCCTCAAATTTGTAGTGGATGAAGGTAGTGGAGAAGGTTTAACAATGTCATGATTTTCCTTTCTAAATCCCACTGGCTTACCTCCAATTTCTGGTACAATACTCTGAGGATACAGGAACCTTAAACTAATCAAATAGCACACGTGTAAGATCAGGGAAGGTTGACAATGGCTGGAGGGTATAGGCCCATCCTTCCACTTCTGTCCCCTGCTACTCATATAGCATCTATTGCACCCAACTGGCTGTCATTTTTCAGGGATGACAATTAGTAGAAAAGGGTGGTTAATAAAGTTCCTCTGATGAAGTAGAAGAAACATGGAGACTCACACCAGGGAACAAACCCACTTCTTAAACTGAATCCTACCATAAAACACTGACCAACAGCCTTCTCTCAGCTACAGCCAGGCCCAGAAGAGACCCTTTGTGTAAATGATTTCAAAACTCCCTGCCCCACCCCCAACCTGGTCTCCTAAGAGTGGATGCAGTTACAGACACGAGTTCTAGACTGTGAATAGGTCCAGACCCGACTGGAAAAAAGTCACTGTCACCTCCTGTCTTTACTAAAAATCGTCACTTTATTTTTAACCACTAGTGTTGAGCTAGTACTTAAAGCCCCGATTTTTCTTTTCTTTTGAGATATCTAATGACATCTAATCTGAGAAACCCAGAGTCAGATATTTGAACTCCTAAGCTCTCACCTTATCTATCTTCTCCATACAGCCCTTGCACGTGCTTCTGTTGGACTTGGCATACTCTGCTGCAAAGTCACCCAGCGTCTTCTCCGTCTTGTTGCCAACTCCACCTTGGCCTTTGCCTGAGGCATCAAACACAGCAATGCTCATTTCAACAGCCTCAGTGTAGTTCCAGCATCCCTGCCCTCCCCTTCCACCTCCCTGGGGTTCTTCTACTGGGACACTTGGAATTCTGGCTGATTTTGGTTGGTCCATTTCATCTATGTCATTTCTAACCATTGTGGCTGGTTAATAGAGCTTCTTTTCTGGCAATAAAATAAAAATCTTTCTCAGACAGGCTGTTGGAAACAGCACAATGTTAGCTGGTGGTTGTCTTACCTTCTATCTCTCTCCACTTTCATTGGAGCCCCCTCCCTCCCTGTGGAACGTACTTAAATTTATCAAAGTTAAATGTTCCATTACAGGGAGTATCTTGATACAGACACAAATATATGTAAGATAGCATATGTTCTGGGTGGCATTTCTAATTATTGGGAAAAGGTTGAATCATTCAAGAGTCTTGGGGATAAACAACCAAGCATTTGGGACAAAAGCTAGATTCTTTTCTGATATGAAAATAAATTCCAAGGCTGAGTGTTTCTCCTGTGATCAGGAATAAGACAAAGCTGTCTCCTCTTACCACTTAATCGGCATTGTATTTGAGGTTCTAGTAAGTGCATTATGATAAAAAAAAGAAAAAGAAATAAAAGGTATAAATTCAGAAAAGAACAAGCAAAGCCATCTCTACTTGTAGATGATATGATTGTATATGCGGGATAGCCTTAGAAATCTAAAAAAAAAAAAGCTACTAGCAAGATTAAGTGAATTCAGCAAATTTGAAGAACATAAGGTTAATATAAAAGACATTTCTAGCCTGGCTGTTGTGGCTCAGTGGTTAAGCATTGAACCATGCACCAAGAGGTCGTTGGTTCGATTCCCAGTCAGGGCACATGCTCAGGTTGTGGGCCCAATCCCCATTGGGAGGCATGCAGGAGATGGCCAGTTGATATTCTCTCTCATTGATGTTTCTCTCTCTCTCTCTAATCAATAAAGAAAAAAAAAAAAGACATTTCTATATACCAGCAACAGACATACTACAAGAAGAAATTAAAGCACACTACTATTTAAATAGCATTAAGTCCTGACCAGGTGGCTCAGTTGGTAGGAGTGCCATCCTATACACCAGAAGGTGGATCCACTGTCGGCCTGCATGTGGGAAGCAATTGATTGATCGATGTTTCTCCCTCTTCTACAAATGACACTCGCTCTCCAGACCCTTTGTAGACAAATTTACTGTTATTTTTATTCACAACTCTGAGCTGTGTTTCTGATCTCAGTTTATAGCAGACCAGAAGCAGCTGGAGACAATTACACTAACAGTTTTTGTAAAAAGGACAGGAAGACAGAAAACAGTTTAGCACAGGTACAAATAGCCTTGTTGCCATCAACAGCTTAGAGCCATAAGAAGAGGTTAAACTGGGTCAGTTTAGGAAGACAGAGACAGGAGAATGTGGTCTCCAAAGTTCTTCTTCAAAAAATGGTTTAAAAAAAGGTCCTGGCCCAGTCAATGTGGTTGAACGTTGACCCCATGCACCAAGAGGTCACTGGTTAGGTTCCTGGTCAGGGCATATGCCCAGATTGTGGGCCTGATCCCCAGTGGGGGGGCATGCAGGAGGCAGCGAGTTGATTTTCTCTCTCTCATCAATGTTTCTATCACTCTCTAAATATCAATAAAGAAAAAAAAAGGTCCTGGCCAGTTTGGCTCAGCAGTTAGAGAACTGGTCTGCGGACCAAAGGGTCACAGGTTCAATTCCCAGTCAAAGGCACATACCTGGGTTGCAGATTTGCTTCCCAGCACAGTCTCGGTTGTGTGGGAGGCAACAAACTGATGTATCTCTCTCATATCAATGTTTCTCTTTCCCCCTCCCTTCCACTTTATCTAAAAGTCAATGGGAAAATACCTTTTCTGGTGAGGATTAACAAAACAAACAAACAAACAAACAAAACTCTTCAAATTTTAAAGGGATCCCAGCAAGTTTGTAGATATTAACAAACTAAAGTTTACGTTGAGTCAAAAGACCAGAATAGCCAGGACAACATTGAAGAACAGAGTCAGAGGACTGATGTTACTTACCTGACTTTAAGACTTAGTATAAAGCTACAGTAATCAAGACAGTGTAGTATTGGCAAAATACACAAGTTGGTACACAGATTAAAATAGAGCCCAGAAATACATCCACATGAATATATAGTCAATTGATGTTTCAAAGGAGCAAAGGCAATACAATGGAGAACAGAGAGCTTTTCAACTAATGGTGCTGGAACAATTGAACATCCACATGCAAAAAAATGAATCTAGACATAGACTTCATACCTATTGCACAAATTAACTCAAAATGAATCAGACTTAAATGTAATGTATAACACAAAACTATAAAACTCCTAGATGACAACAAAGAAATCTAGATGAGCTTGGGTATAACGCTGACTTTTAGATACAATAACAGACAATTCATGAAAATAATAATTGATGAGATAAACTTCACTAGCATTGAAAATGTTTGCTCTGGCCCTGGCCGGTTTGTCTCAGCAGTTGGATCATTGGCCTGCGGACAGTAGAGTGCCGGGTTCGGTTCCTGCTGGGGGTGCGTACCTCAGTTGCAGTTTGTCACCGGCCCCTGTTGGGGTCGTGTGGATGGCAACAACTCGGTGTGTCTCTCTCACATTGATGTTTCTCTCTCTCCCACTCTATCTGAAGATAAATGCAAAGATGTCTTCAGGTAAGGATAAAAAACAAAAGAAAATGTTTGCTCTGTGAAAGACACTGTCAAGAGAATGAGAACAAGGTATAGATTGGGAAAATGTATTTTCAAAAGACACGTGATAAAGAACTGTTATTTAAACTATACAAAGAACTCTTAAATTCTCATTCATTGCTGATGGGAATACAAAATGCTATAGCCATTTTGGAAGACAGTTTGGCAGCTTCTTACAAAACTAAACATACAATCTAGTAATCATGCTTTTTGGTATTTACCAAATGAGTTGAAAACTTAGGTCCATATAAAAACCTATACATACAGGTTCAAATAAACTCACAAAAATTCAAAAACAAATAAGACAAAAAAACAAACAAACAAAACAAAAACCCCAAAACCTACACATGGATGTTTACACTAGTTTTATAAATAACTGCCCAGACTTGGAAGCAACCAAGATGTCCCTCAGTAGAAATAAACTAGTATGTACCAGTAATAACAAACTGTTACATCCAAACAACAGAATATTATTCAGCACTAAAAAGAAATGAGTTATGCTCTGCCTAGTTTGGCTCAGCAGTTAAGAGTGTCGGCCTGCAGACTAATGAGTTGCGGGTTCAATTCCCATCTAGGGCACGTACCTTGGTTGCGGTTCGTCCCAGGTTGTGCGGGAGGCAACTACTTGATGTGGCTCTATCACATCTATGTTTCTCTGTCTATCTCTCCCTCCCTCTCACTCTATCTGATAATAAATAGAGAAATATCCTTGGGAAAGGATTAAAAAAAGAGAAATGAGTTATCAAACTATGGAAAGAGCCTGGCTGGAGTGGCTCAGTGGATTTGAGTATTGTCCTGTGCACCATACAGAAGTCAACAGAACTGTTTCTCTCTCACATCAATGTCTTTCTCTCTCTCTTTCCCTCCTTCTCTCTAAGCATGTCCTTGGGTGAGCATTAAAACAAAAAAACCCATAAAAAGACACAGAGAAACCTTACATACATATTAACGTGAAATATGCCAATTTGAAAAGGCTACATAATGTGTGATTCCAACCATATGACATTCTGAAAAAAAAACACACACAAAACTATGGAGACAGTATAAAGATCAGTATTGGCCAGCTATTGGGGGAGAAGATAAATAGATGAGTGCAGAGGAATTTTAGGGCAGTGAAAATATTCTATGATGTTATAATGATGAATACAGTTATACATTTGTCCAAAGCCACAGAATATATAACACCATGAGTGAATGCCAGTGTAAACTATAGACTTTGTGTGAAGGCGATGTGCTAATGCAAGTTCACTGATTGGAACAAGTGTACTACTCGGGTGGAAGATGTTAATGGTGGGGAAGCTGTGGGGTCAGAAGGAATGTGGGAACTCTGTTTAATTTTGCTGTGAACCTAAAACTGTTCTAAAAAGCAAAGTCTATTAAAACAACAACACACCCTGGCCGGTTTGGCTCAGCGGTTAGAACATCAGCCTGTGGACAAAAGGGTCACAGGTTCAATCCCCAGCCCTGGTCAGGGTGGTGCAGGAGGCAACCAATGTGCCTCTCTCCCATCAATGTTTCCCTCCCTCCCTCTCTCTAAAAAAATCAATGGAAAAGTATCCTCAGGTGAGGATCAACAACAACAAAAAACAAGACAACAACTTCAAGGGCCACATTTCAGGCATCTGGAAAAGTAAAATATCCTACAACAGGACGGAAGGTGGGTCAATGAGGCGTGGCTGAAGTAACATGGACGCCTTGTTCTCTGCATATACATGTGTGAAACAGGGAGGGGTGAGCTGAAGAACCTTTTCTTTGTTCTCTGGGAAAAGTCCCCCTGGAAGCTCTGGGTTGGGAGTAACACCCACTGCCTCCCTGGTGTGTACACACCTGTCACTCCTCCAGCCTCTGCAGTCTTCTTAACTTTCTGCTGGTCGTCCCACCGGAGCTCAGAGAACCCATCCACCTCGACATCAGGCTGCCAGATGGAGTGGCCAACCTTCCAGAAGCAAGAGAAGTGGTACCAGTGTGGGACTTTGCCGTCAAACATGGGCGACTAGAAGGATGAGAATCAGAGGGAGGTAAACGAAGAGTTGGTTAACCTCCAACGCAGCCTTAAGCCCAGCCCTCAGCAACGAAACATATCAAGTTCTTGTTTACTTTTGTTACAGATGTTTCTCCTTTCTCTCCCACCACTGACACCCTCCTCTCCGCTCCTGTCTCCCCACTCACAGTATTGTTGTCTATATCCACTGGTTATGCATATAAGTTATTTGGTTTATCTCCTCCTGCCCCCCCCCCAAGGTTTGTCAGTCTGATCCCTACTTCTATGTCTCTGGGTCTGTTTTGTTCATTATATTCCACAAATAAGTGAGATCGTGTGATATTTATGTTTCTATGATTGGCTTATTTCACTTAGCATAATACTTTCCAGGTCTCTTCATGTTGTCTCAAAGAAGAGATCTTTCTTCCTTACAGCTGCACAGTATTCCACTGTGTAGATGTACCACAGCCTTTTTATTCACTCATCAGAGAGATGAAAATTAAAACGACTATGAGGTATCATCTCACACCTGCCAGAATGGCTGCCATCAACAAATCATCAAACAACAAGTGCTGGTGAGGGTGAGGAGAAAAAAAGGGGACTCGAGTACACTGCTGGTGGGAATGCAGATCGGTGAAGCCACTATGGAAAACAACACGGAATTTCCTCAAAAAAATTAAAAATTAAACTGCCATTTGACCCAGTGATCCTACTTCTAGAAATATATCCTAAGAAGCCTGAAACACCAATCAGAAAAAATATATGCACCTCTGTGTTCATAGCAGCACTATTTACAATAGCTAAGATCTGGAAACAGCCCAAGTGCCCTTGTTTTCTTATCTGTGAAATAAGGACAGCCTTGCCCAGGTTCCCATACGGCCAGGGGACAGTTGCAAATGGATGAGAAACAGCAGCCCGACCCCCCTCCACTCCACATTTCTCTTCAGGCTCTTCTCCAACAGCTAAGAAAGCTGCTGCCTGCTGAGGCCACTCTCAGGACATGGGACACACCCACAGAAACAGTGGCATTTTTAAACAGGATTCTGCCCACGTACCTTTTTAACCATTTAAGTAACATGCTTTATCTCTGAGCATAGTAAAATGCATACAAGATGCCTGTTTCATGTCCGGACTGACTCCACTTGTCTGCCCAAAAGAGTCAGGCATGAACGCAGAGGGCCTGTGTGGCTCTGAAGTGCCTCTGCAGTTAGAATAACAAGGAGCTAGTCCCAGATAATGAGCAAGGCAGAGAAAGTGTGTCGGAAAAGTGGCAGGCTCGTAGAAGCTACACAGATGTGATTGGAATACATTAACTTCTTTGAGGGAGAAGGAAAGAGAACAAATCAGGGAAGCAGAATAGAGAGGGCAGACGAAAGAACTCCAGGGCCAGTAGCTAGACTGTTAGCTTGCGCATGTGCCTTCAGGAAGTACCATTTCCTGCTGCAGGAACTGGGAAGTCAGGCCCCGTGGAAAAGGGGGTTCTCCTCTCGTGGCAGGTTTTCTTTCCTTTGAAGCGTCACACTTGGGTTGGTACTGACTCGACAGTATGGCCCTTCACTGCCACAGTGCCAATGCACTCCCAGGCTTTACAGAGTGGAGGTGGCAGTGACAGGCGGAGTGGGATGAACACTGGCATTTACTCGGTCCCTGGCACCCACACTTGAGTCTGGGTGGGGGAAACCAGCACCCCCGTTTCATAAATGCCTGGGGGCGATGGTGTCCACAAAGGGAGCTCTGACAACATGGTTCTGTGCACTACGCTGCTGGGTAGGAAGAGCTAATGAGAAATACACAAATGGTTCTGACTGAAGCAAGGGAGGCCTCAAACACATGCTTTTATATTCTAACATAAAGCCAAATGTCATGCAGATGAAATAAAAATATTAAAACAGACCTGGCTGGTTTGGCTCAGCGATTAGAGTGTCGGCCTGCAGACCAATGAGACCCGGGTTCGACTCCAGCCAAGGGCACATACCTCGGTTGCGGTTCGTCCCCAGTCCTGGCCGGGGTTGCACGGGAGGCAACCAGTCCTATGTGTCTCTCTCACATCAATGTCTCTCGCCCTCCCTCCTACTCTATCCAAAGATAAATGGAAAAATATCCTCGGGTAAGGAAAAAAAAAAAACTTAAAACATTAAAAGTAAACACCATATAGAACTTTAAGGATGGAGTTGTGGAAACGGGAAACAGTGTGAAAAGTCAGTGACAAGGTCTCCCAACTAGTCCTCACCTACTACATGAGTGGCCTCTTTCTAGATTTAACAGATTAAAATGGAAGGTTAAGGCCAGAATGTCAAAGACTCCTCAGCATCAGGCAGCCTGCTTACAGCACCCTCAGCTGTTCCCCCAGCCCAGAACTCTTGCAGTCCTAGTCAGAGCAAACAGCAATTTCTAGGGTCCCCTAAGGGCCCCTGCCCCGTTCCCACAGTTAAGAATGATCCATCTGGGTGATTATTTGATCAATGTCTGTCCTGCACTGGGTTAGAAGCTCCCTGAAAGGCACAACGTCCGTCTTGCTGACATCTGGCAAAGCCTGCTTGCTCATAGTGGGCATTCAGGGTTGTTTGTGGATTGCCCGAAGGGAAGAAAGAAGAAAGGAAGAGGGAAGATCCCTGCGGTGGAAAAGAGGTCCCCAAACCAGATAACAAACAGCATTCCAGAGCTCTGGCCCTCCAACTTTCACCAAGGCAGCAGACACATCCTTAAGCATCAGGCCATCTTGTATGCATCTGCAGTGGTCTCCACCTGGCTCTTCCTGCCTTAGTACCCCGCCTTAGTACCCTCTGCAATGTTCCAGTTACATTCATGCAAAGGAGGGCACGTGGCTAAGTGGCTTTGCCACCACAATGGAACTTGTAACTGCAAAGTATCTTCTTGGCTCTGCTAGGGCCTCACACCTATCCCTTAAACTCTGGTCTGGGTGCTGTGTTCCCATGCATGGATGACTGGGGCCCCCAACTCCCTTAAGAGGAAGAACCTTTGACCAAAGCAAAGCTTTACCCTAGACCTTAGATCTGAGAATATGACAGGAAGGGAACTAGACCAAGGTCACATGACTATGGCTATCACTGGGCAGCCACAAGGCTCTCTCGAAAAGGGCAGATCTTTGTGTACTGAGCACCTTTCCCATACCAGGGTCCTCATCGGCCACTCCACTGCTCTCACCCCAGAGAGCAAAGGACCCATCACCACACCCAACGTGAGGACAATGTGTTCCCTAACCCTCCCAAGACAGGAGAACAGAAGGATCACTACAACCTCCACTCAGTTCATCCCCTCAAGGCTGCCCCAGGGCTAGCCTGCTCAAGTATCAGGTATTTGATACACCCGGAACAATCCTCCCATACAAATGTAAAAGGTTTTACAATCCAAGAGGGAGAAGAATGGCTTCTTTCTTTTTGACCCCCACCAAGCACAGCATGGAAGACCAACTTTACATCCTGAATCAAAACTCCACTCCCTAATTACCATTATGGACAACCACATTTTTTTTCTTTTTGTTAATCCTCGCCTGGGGGTGGGGGTGGGTGGTTAGGATAATTTCCCATTGATTTTTAGATTTGTTGCCTCCCTCACAATCCTGACTGGGGCCGAGATGAATCTCAAACCCAGGTACATGCCCTTGACTGGAAATTAAACCCAAGATCCTTCAGTCTGAGGGCAGACCCTCTAACCGCTGAGTCAAACCTGTCAGGGCTACACATACTTTTGATAACAAAGAATCCCCCTGGCTGGTTTGCGCCCCCCCCTCCCCCCAGAGTCCCAGGTTTGGTTCCCACTAAGGACAGGGACCTCAGTTGCAGTTTGTCCCTGGCCCCGGTTGGGGTGGTGTAGGTGGCAACCACTCGATGTGTCTCTCTCACATAGATGTTTCTCGCTCTTTCTCTCTTCCCACCTCTCTCCCTCCTGCTCTATCTGAAGATAAATGCAAAAATGTCCTCGGGTGAGGATTTAAAAAAAAAAAAAAAGAGGACCCAGAATGTTAGTTTATTTGGTTCAGGAACTGATTACTCAATGGAGCCATCCTGACTCCCCCAGCCAGAGCTATCCCTTTTCTGTGCTCCTCAGTGTCCTTGCTCATGACACTGGCTGTACTTAGGTTTTCTGTCTGTCTGCAATAGAACAGTGCCCTTTTTAACTGCCTAGTGAAGCCTATAAATGTCCCTTTCTCAGAATAACATTTAAAAATGCAGGGCAGCCCTGGCCGGTGTGGTTCAGTGGTTAGAGCATTGGTCTGCACACTGAAAGATTGCAGATTCCAGTTGGGGTGCAACCAATCAATCTGTCTCTCTCCGTCTCTCCCTCCCTCCCTCTCTAAAAAATCAATGGAGCCCTGGCTGGTTTGGCTCAGCAGTTAGAGCATCCGCCTCCGGTCCAGAGAGACCGGGGTTCGGTTCCCGCTAAGGGCACGTACCTCGGTTGCAATTTGTCCCTAGCCCTGGTTGGGTCGTGCGGTAGGCAGCCACTCAATGTGTCCCTTTTGCGTTGAGGTTTCTCTCTCTCTCCCTCCCACTCTATCTGAACAAAGAATGGAAAAGTGTCCTCGGGTGAGGATTAAAAAAAAATATATCCTTGGGGAGGATTAACAACAACCAAAAAAATGTAGGACAAAAGACAGGTTCACAAAGGAAATCAATTAAATTGAAATAGTTACCAAAACATTTAAAAAGCTTACTGGAATACAGTAACCCATGACCTGCAAAGCATTAAATAACAAAATCAAGCACCCACGCTAATAACTATTGTTATCTTGAAGCAGTGATGAGAGTAAATTTAGAGAAATCCCCCCAAAATGTAAAGTGATATAAAAATCTCTGTAATTACCAATGGTGACAAAAATCACAAGTACTGCTAATATGCCTTTGTGGCTTATGCTCCTAACTGAAGGAAATCATGACTTTTATCTAGAGGTTAGTGAAAGTAGAAATGTAAATTTGTTCTCATCTAAACTCACAAACCTTCTACCCACACCCCAAACCTCAGGTTAAGAGCCCCTGGAGGAGAAGACAGCTTCCTAAGATCAGTCACCCATACAGTCACGGTAAAGCTCAAAGACACTTAGTGGGAGATGTGGCAGTTTCAGATGGCAGGTCTGTTAATCCATTTCAAATTCCTGCCACTTCTGTGAACAAAGACTTTTATACAAGCTCCTATACTGGGCACAGATGCCTAAGGCACATCTCTATCAGATGGCATCCATCCCTGGACAGCAATGTTTACCAGTCATCTTCCTTTTAATCAAACTAAAGCTTCCGAGGGCCGAGTCTCTCTTTGTGCCCCTAGTACCCAATGCAGTGCCTGGAACCCACTAGGTGCTCAACGAGTATTTATTGAATGATTAAGGACTGTGTGTTAGGTACCGAGCTAGGTAAACCCTGAGGATACCAAGATTAACAGCTCCAGTCCCCGCCAGATCATGAAATGAAATAACCTAAGTACTTACACCCACTCCCCTCCACCCCAGCAGTATTGAAAATCCAGTGAGGACTCTCTGGTCATTCCTAAACACATTAGTGCTTCACCGCAGGGAGGGATAATCAAAATACCTTGACCGTGAGCACTAAACTTGGATTACAGACAGCTTTATGCTGGAGGTGGGGAGACAGGGCAGGTGAGCATCAAGATTACACAGGTGGACATGGGCAAAATATAAGCTGGAGGCAGGAACCCTCTGGCAAGGGCTTTCAGACACACCACCTCACAGAGCCTCCAACGCCCCACTGTGAAGCCTAAGGGAACCCAGGAGGGGGGGATCCCCAATCTGTCAAGAAGTCCCCCTTAGAACCCCTCAACCCAAGCCACTCTTACTCAAACCCGGAGTGCTGCAAATTGCATCAAAAGAACTCAACTATGAACCTGGAAAGTTTGGGGAAATGTTATTTTACATAAAAAAGTCAGGTAAAAAATGAACGCACTGTAGAGAAATGACACCGACTTGCATAATTTTGCACAATTAAAAAAAAAAAATGAGGGTGAAACCCTGGCCAGGCAGCTCAGTTGGTTGGAGCGTCATCCCAATACATCAAGGTTTGGGGGTTGATCCCAGTCAGGAACCTACAAGAATCAACCAATGAATACACAGATAAGTGGAACAACAAATCGATCTCTCTAAAATCAACTTAAAAAAAAAAGAGGGTGAGCGGGTGTTGAAAGGACAGCCAAAAATAGGTTAAAAAAATCTTCTCCTGCCAGTCGTCGCCATCAATGTAGGACAAAAATCTTCTAGAACAAGGTAGGTCAAAATCGGACGAGCCTCAAAAGACCACATTTCCTTCCCTGGGGCGAATGGTAACAGAAACGGTTCCTCATTTTTACAAAGCAAAAGGCACCCTCAGCTCCAGACTGTATTTCCCGGGCTTTTCCTGCAAGAGCAGTAAAACCTTCCGGAGAGTCCACCCGACCGGCTACACGCCGGCCGAGGAGCAGCAGCGCCCAAGGCCCGGCGCGGGCTCCGAGGGGCCAGGCCCGCCCGCCCCTCCGGGCCTCCCCCCACCCTTCCCGGACAAGGAAGCCCCGCCGCGCACAAAGCGGCCCTCACGCCAGCACCTGCACCATGATGGCCATCCGGAGCGAGTCCTTGGGGATGCTCTCGCTGCATTTCTTGCAGGAGGCGCGCCCGCTCTTGGCGTATTCGACCCGGTAGAGCTTGTCTGAGGACTCCGCCATCCTCCCCCTCGCGCCGCTGCAGCTTCAGGAACCCGCGGCCGCCACCTGAAGACACACTGCCGCCGCCTCTCTGCGCCGCGCGCGTGCGTATGTCCGCCCGTCACCCCGCTCCCCTCCGAGCCCGAGCCGCCGCAGAACGAGCCGCGTCGGCCACCCGCAGCTCCGGATAGATTGCTGATGCCTGGCGGCGGGAACGCCTCCAGCGCACGCGTTCGAGGGGCGGGGCCCTCGGCGCACGCGTTCGAGGGGCGGGGCCCTCGGTGCACGCGTTCGAGGGGCGGGGCCCTCGGCGCACGCGTTCAAGGGGCGGGGCCACTGGCGCGCGCGCCTTCTGGGCTGCGAGGGCGGTACTTCCCCGGCGCGTGCGGCTGCGCGAGTTTGGTGGGCTGCAGCGCAGAACTTGGGTTTGCTTCGCCGCAGTAGCTGTTGGGAGGATCCGGCACCACGCTTGTAATCTTTTTGTCGCCTGGAAGGCTTACGTGCTTTTCCAATGAATTCTACCCTCATTCCCTTTTAATAAGCGTGTCTTCTCTCCCCTGAGGGCGGCCAGGTCTGGAAGGGCTGGGCCAGCTTGGGAATGTGGTTGATCTGCCAAAGGGAGGTCAACCCCTGCTGGCCCTTGGCTGGGTGCTCACTTCGGTCTGCAGACCTTCCGGACGGAATACTAACTGAAATCTAGCATCGCCTTCGTTATGAACTTGAAATGCATGCATGCAAACCTCAGGAGTATGAACAGTACCTGTGACTTTGGCAGCAAGTCATCATAGATGTTTTCAAATCACTTCATAGGTGTTGGAGACAACTCAGTGTTAAGCTCATCACTACTTGAGGTTGCGGTCCTTAAAAGATATGCTGCCCTGGCCGGTTTGGCTCAACGGTTAGAGCATCGGCCTGCGGTCCAGAGAGACCCGAGTTGGGTTCCCACTAAGGGAATGTACCTTGGTTGCAGTTTGTCCCTGGTCCTGGTTGGGTTGTGCGGAAGGCAGCCACTGGATGTGTCCGTTTCACGTCTATGTTTCTCTCTCTCTCTCTTCCTCTCTCTCCCTCCCACTCTATCTGAACAAAAAATGGAAAAATGTTCTCAGGTAAGGATAAAAAAAAAAAAAAAAAGATACCCTGCTACTAGATCTTGTTATTTAATGTAGAACTATATTTTTATCTAACTGGTTCCTTTTTCAAGCCTATGCTATTTTTTATATTCAAACATTGTAACGGAGTGTGCTGATTGAGAATATTCAGATCTGTTATAGAAGACAAGAAAAATACATAGGGTGAATGAAATTCATATAACTTGTTCTAGTACAGAGAGGAAGAAGACTAGTACCTTAAGAGACATAGATGTTGAGTAGGTAAACAGATTATGTGACATAGGCAAGAATCCCCAGTTAATGACTTGTTATCTTTCTAAAAAATAAATTTGATTGTGACTTCTACCCTGCTTAAACTACTCTGTTAAACTCCTGTATTAGAATTTTTTGATTATATTGTGACAGAAACCCAGCTTGAAAGAAAATAGGCCAAAAAAGGGGAATTTTGAGGGGGGGGGTAGACTGGGGTATCTCATAGAATATAAGGAAGAATTAACCTAACTATGAGAAGGACTAAAATGTAGAGGAACTGTAGAGATGATGGTATCCAGGGATTCAAAAGCCTCTAGGACTCCCTCTGTTTCTTGTCTCTGCCTCTCTCTCTGGAACATCCTTCTCTCTCATAGGAGGTTGACTTGGGGGGGGGGTGTCTTTTCTCCTCCATTTTGCTAAACACATTCAGGTAAGAATTCTGATGGAACTAATGTGGGTCAGAGTCCCACTCATGAGCCAATCAACAGTGACCAAGAAGTACAGTTGTGTAAGAACATGGGGACTTCACTGCAGCCATGTGGACAGGGTAAGGGAGATGTCCAGAGAAAGAGGCAGACAATGACCACTCTACTTTCCTAATTAGAGACTGACAACTGGTGGCCTGAAGGCCCAATTTAACCCATAGTTTTGTCTTGAATAGGTTTAAAATTGTTTTGAACTATGTGTCAACATTGCAAAACCAGGACATTTCCCATAAAAATCTGGATTTCTGTTTTTACTTTAAAAATGTCAAAATGTGGGAACATCTGCCCTTTCATTCTCAGGTGGAAACTATTGGCTGGAGCACAGTGGGGGCTGCTCATCTAAATGGGGTATTCAATTATGTGTTTTTTAAAGATGCAACTCTCTTATATGACACATTTATGGTTCAAGATAGGGCAGTCACACCAAACATCTATTGTTGTGTTGGCTGCTGTCATTAAAAACATTTTTTTTTCTTTATTGATTTTAGAGATAGGAAGGGAGAGGGAGAGAGAGATAGAAGCATCGATGAGAGAGAACATCAATTGGCCGCCTCCTGCATGCCCCCCATTGGGGATTGGGCCCACAATCTGGGCATGTGCCCTGGCCGGGAATTAAACCCCCACCTGTTGGGCGGGGTATTCAGTCATTACTGTTCTCCATCTCTAGCTACTTCTTGTTGTAGAGATCAATTCCTGCATCGCCATGCAAAACTATGTGGTGAAAAACAACAAAAATTATTTATGATTATTACTTGTTGGTTAGTTGGGATCAAGTAGTTGGTTCTCACCCAGGGTGGATGGAGTCATCTCAAAGGCTTCCTTTGGTGGCTGCAGCTGACTCTTGGCTCGATGTCAGCTGGGTGGTCACCTGAAACACCTACCATGGTCTCTCCATGTGGTCTGAGCTCCCTTATAGCATGGCACCTGTCTGACTCAGTCTCTGTGCTCTCTGTTCACTTAAGTTACATCCTTTTTAGGAGCTGTTTTCATTTTCAAATAAGAAAATGGAGACAAGGAGAGATGAATTGACATGCTCAAGGTCACCCAGTATTAAAGCTGGGATGAGAACTGAGCCCCTGCCTCCCTTTCCCCCCTCAGTTTCCAGGGCCTCCCATTAAGTAGCTCTCTCCTTATCTATCTCATTGTCTGTCCCAATAACTCTGTTGTTTCCTTGGTGCCTCTTCGGATTACAGTCAGCTGTGTCCACAGCTGGTGCCCTCATTAGGTTTCAGTCCTTGGCCGAAAATGTTCTACTCAACTTTTATTTTCCTACACCAGCTTGATGCCTGTCATTTAGTTGGCCCTCAGAAAATATTTATTTAATGAAATCCATGTCTTTACAGCATATCCTCAATTTTCTCTGAATATTTTAGGTGCTTATTACTCTCAGTTGCTCGTCCAGCTCCAAAAGAACCCCAATCCCTGTGTGGTGTGGGGACAGAGGACTGAGCAGGAGCAAGGAAATGTCCCCTCGGATTCACTGTCTTTGGGGACCTCCAGAGATGCCTGAGGAACACCTGAGCCCAAATACTGTTGACTTGCTGGGGGATAAGATGTGAAAGAGAGAGACAGAACCAGGAGTTTAAGGACTTTATTGTGCTTTTCCCTTGATAAAAATAAACAAAAACAGCTCGGCCAGTGTGGCTCAGCAGATTATCATCCCCTGGACTGAGAGGTCCAGGTTTGATTCCGGTCAGTGCACACGCCTGGGTTGCAGGCTTGATCCCCTGTAGGGGGCGTGCAGGAGGCAGCCGATGTTTCTTTCTCATATCAATGTTTCTATCTTTCTCCCTCTCCAAAAAAAAAAAAAAAATCAAAAATATTTTAAAAAAGGAAAAAGTAAACAAAACAACAGACATAAACTGAATAAAAAGTGAAAGTTTTTTTCCTCTTCTCCCTACTCTCACACCCTGGAGGTCATCACTCATCAGTGTATTTTAGAGAGGGAGAGAGAGAGAGAAACATCTATGTGAGAGAAACACATCCAACGGCTGCCTCCTGCATCCTCAATCCACTGAGCCACACTGGCTGGGCTTTTTTTTTTCACTCATCACTTTATAGTTTGGCCTATATCCTGCTGGATTCGTTCTACACACACACACACACACACACACACTCTCACAGTTTGAGATCTTATTATGTACATATTGTACCCTAATTTTTTTTAATATCCCAGAGATATTTATTCCTATCAGAAAAAGGAGGCCCTTTGTTCCTTTTAACAGCTACATTAAAATTCGCAGTATAGATGAACCATACTCTGTGAGATGTTTGGTGGGATGATAGTGTCATTTACATTTATTTTATTTATACAGAGTTTTTATATTTCTGTAAATACTGAGATCCTCTCTGTCCAGTACAGCAGTACTAGCAACATGGCTACTGAGCACTTCTGGAGGACGAATTTGAATTGAGATGGCTGTAAGTATAAATGCACATTGGATTTTGAAGACTTAGTGCAAAAAAAATAAAGTAAAATATCTCATTAGTATTTTCTTTATATCGCTTACATGTTGAAATGATACTGTTTTGGAAATATGGGGTTAAATAATATTGGGTTAAATAAAATGTTTTATTAAAATTAATTTTGTTTCCTTTAACTTTTGAAATGTGATGATAAGAATTCAAAGTTACATACGTATCTTGCATTATGTTTATTTTGGGTAGAGATGCTTTAGATAAGACAAGAGTGTACAGAGTAAAAGATGGAAGTTCTATTTCACCATCTACCTCCACTCCCTACCAAGTAGTCATTTATTATTATTTTTCAATGTGTATTTAAGGCTGTATACTTTATCCTGAGTTAAGCTTTGGTTATAGTCTTCAGATTTTGAATGCATGTTGTACTTTGGTTTGTTTGTTTTCATATTTCATTGGCTATTTCAATTTCTTCTTCTGTGAATTTCCTGTACTACCTTTTGGCCCATTAAAACATATTTCCCACGATGTTTAAGCTTTGTAGGGTGTTGTTGTTTTTTTTAAATGGTGTAAACATGTCTTAGTTCATTTCCCTGTTTGCTCTTAACTTCCAAATGCTCTTTACCATACATTATGTTGCCTGGTTTATTAACAGCGAGACTAGAGGAAAAAATGCTCTTACGTGATGCAGGAAGAAATGGTTAAGGGAGACTGTGGTGGGCGGTTGAAGCCAGAGTCTGTGCAAGTGTGAAGGCAGAGCAGCTCAGTTTCCACTGCCGCCTCCAGCACACATTGCCTTGCCCTCCTTTTCATTTTCCTTGTTAAAAAACCACACTATAAACATCAACCTTGTTCTTTTTTATAATTATATAAGTAATACCTGCAGCCTATAAAAACAAAACAAGCCCTGGCCGGTTTGGCTCAGCGGTTAGA